AGATTGGCTGTCAGTACTTCAGGATTGATCAATTTTCAGATCTATACCATCGTTTGTGAACTCTATAAGGCTACGTTCACACTAGCCTTGTGTGCAGGCGGCAGAGAGGCGTTTGGGAAGCGTTTTTTACCGCTTCCCAAACGCCTCTGCCAATTCTGCACATTACAGCACATGGTGCTGTTCTAACAGGAGCGTTTGCATCGCGTCGCGTCAAAACGGACGCCTCTGGTCGAGTCAGGAGGCTTTGAAGCCTCCTATTCTCGTCTATGGTGCTGCTCCGCAAACGCCCGGCCGGCTTTTGCGGTGCGGTTGCGACGCGGTTGCGGGGTGTTTGCGGAGCGGTAACACCACTCAAATGCATTATAGGCGTTTGTGGGGCGTTATTAACGCTCGGCAAACGCCTAGCAACCGCCGCTAAACCGCGCATGCGGCGTTTGCGGAGCGTTTGCCGAGCGTTAAAAACGCTCCGCAAACACCAGACCAACGCTTGCCAAACGCTATAGGGGCGTTTGGCAAGCGTTGGCAAAACAGCCAAGTGTGAACGAGCCCTAACTTTCCTACAAACTAAATAATACATCCTAATTTGGGTTATTTTTACCAAAGACATGTAGCAGAATACATCTCGGCCTAAATTTATGAAGAACAATTATTTATTTGCAAACTTTTATAACAGAAACAAAGAAAAATGTGGGTTTTTTTTTCAAAATTTTCAGTCTTGTTTTGATAATTTAGAAAAAAAAATCCCCGGTGGTGATTAAATACCATCAAAAGAAAGCTCTAGTTGTGTGAAGAAAATTATAAAATTTTAGTTTGGGTACAATGTTGTATGACCGCACAATTGTCATTCAAAGTGTGAGAGCGCTGAAACCTGGAAAATGGCCTGGGCAGGAAGGTGTAAAATTGCCCTGTATTGAAATAGTTAAAACTGAAGTTTGGTTAAAAAAAAAAAATCAAATGTAAAACAAAGTAATCAAGTGTGCCCTACATCATGCAGGTATCTGCTTTGTGTAGAAATCTTCTCTATAGGATACCTGGTCCTCTTCCTGGAACTGAACTTTTGTCACTGGAAAATAATAACATGGAGTCTTCGTGCCAAGCTGCATTCAAGATGGTCTAATGGTTACCCTACCCCCTCTTCCCCGCATATCCATTGAAAAAAGGCGGAGCAATGTTTACGCTGAAAATAAAACAACCTCTGAATGGGGGAAGAGTCAGGTGAATGATGGGATTCTCTCCCAAGAGATCTTGTTACTTTCAGTGTACAGAAATAACTATTTTTTCTCAATGAGGGAGGAGGGACTGAGATAGAACCCTGGATGACCAACTGGTTAACGCGTTTCGAGGACACAACCTCTTCCTCAGGTTCCTTCCTTGGTTGGCTCTGAGGAAGAGGTTGTGTCCTCGAAACGCGTTAGAAAGTTGGTCATCCAGGGTTCCATCGTATGGACTCAGATGTTGTTTGGATCATACATCTTGTTCAGTTTGACATGCCTGTGTTAATATGTCTATTGTGAGTATGATACCTATTTTGTTTCTTCAATAAATAATTCTAAACGATAATGCACTAGGTCGGTGCGCCCTTTTTCTGTTTCTCCATTTGTATCCAGTGTATTTGGACCACCCCGGTCTGTTGAGGGCAGCAAGCAGTGCATATTCCAGAAAATTCCAGAACATTCCTATTGGGTCTACTGAGTCCTTTCCTAGCGCAGGAGTAAAGTGTTTGTTGTATTGGAGCTGCCCTATTAAGGACCAATACTGATTGGTAGCCAAATTAGGTTCCACTAAGGCAGTGGTTCTCAACCTGGGGGTCGAACGACCCTTTCACAAGGGGTCGCCTAAGACCATCGAAAAACACATATTTCCGATGTGCAAAGAGCAGCTACTGTGTAGAAAGCAGCTACTGTGTTGAAAGCAGCAGTACTGAAGGTACTTCATGAATTATAATTACTGGGTAAATAATTTTATGGTTGGGGGTCTCCACAACACGAGGAACTGTATTAAAGGGTCATGGCATTAGGAAGGTTGAGAACCACTGCACTAAGGAGAGGAAATCACCACCCCCACCTTAGACCCAGCTGACTTTCCCATCCCAGAATTTGCATGACAATATGCATCTCTCCACTGTATTTACACTCATTGTTTTAAAGTAGACAGCTGAAAGGCCAATTAAAGGTGGCCAGTGTAATGAGATAGGAGAATGGATGATGTGATGAGTTTCCCAGAAAACATAACAAAAGAAGATAATATCTGGTCCTAAACTGAAAAACAAGGAATACAACAAATACTCCTTAGGGCACACAGGTGCATTTGCAGGACAGCATAGACAAAAAGGCGTCATTTAGTTCCTGGGAGCTCCTAGTGCTGCATACATCTGTCCAAAGACATGAGTGGTTGAAGCCGGCTGTATGCAGCCATGTGCCATTACTTTCATAAAGTGGTGCATGTGCACAGATATAATGTGTTGAATGCAGACTACGTATCTACATTCGAGGTGTCATATCCAGGGGCGGACTGACCATTTGGAAACTCTGGCTCTGCCCGAGGGCCCGGGGTCAGTAGGGGGTCCCATGAGATGCCCCTGGTACCTTTTTAATAGGCTTTTTTGAGTTTGGCCAAGGACACAGGGGCCCCATGATCCCCTATTGCCCGGGGGCCCCATGAGTTGTCAGTCCGCTCCTGGTCATGTCTGTATACATGTGTCATTCTATGCAGAAGGGGCTCCCGGGCAGTAAAATACGGACATTTGTATATACTGTTTTGGTGAATGCACCCATGCATACGAGCCCTTAATCTTGGAAAATCTATTCATAGATCCTATGCTTTGTGGGAAAGACTATACTGTATGCAGTAGTATTAGGAGATGGCAGCTCTTGACTTCACAAACCCCATGGGGTTAGAAATATTGCTGTTCTGATGACAGCATCTGCTCACCCTTCAAAAACTAACCCAACAGGAGAAAGATTACTCCTTCATTTGCTACATAGTCAGTCCAGTAATAAGAGGGCTTACGCGTTTCAGCAAAACAGCTTTACTCATAGCACAGGCTGTTGAGCTGAAACGCGTAAGCCCTCTTATTACTGGACTGACTATGTAGCAAATGAAGGAGTAATATACCGATGACACCGCGGTGACAGCTTTCTCCCGTTATATGTCAGAGTATACTGTACAGAGTCAGCAGGACATCAATTAAATATTAAACCAGGTTTCACCAGGGCCCATCAATTTAAAGCAATCTGTACCTTCTCCACAGCTTGGTTTGCTCCTGATCAGTGTAAGATTTAAGGCACTCAGATATGCGGTCTCCAATTTTTAGCAAGCAGGTCCGAGTGTGTTCCAGTTGCTCCTGGACGGTCAGACCTTTGTCAGGTTTATCCAGCTGCTTCAGAGCTTTTTTCACCGGCCGCATCCTCTCCTTGCACTAAAGAATGAAAGCACAGCAAAATGAAACTCAAATATTGTGCCAGATTTTACAACCAGTGATATCATAATAGAACATGTGAAAAGTTTTAGCTTGACATCCCAAAAATGTTATATGGTGCAATAACATATATTATTTATTTATTTCAGGTACTTATATAGCGCCATCAATTTACACAGCACTTTACATATATATTGTACATTCACATCAGTCCCTAACCCTCAAGGGGCGTACAATCTAAGGTTTACTTTGTAATACCTTCTAATATGGGAGAAAGGCAGGAGAGGAGCAGTGTATACAGTGACTGGCTGTCACTATCAGGGGCGGACTGATCATTTGGAAACTCGGGCACTGCCCGAGGGCCCAGGGTCAGTACGGGGCCCCATGAGATGCCCCTAGTACCTTTTTCATAGGCTTTTTTGAGTTTGGGCAAGGACACAGGGGCCCCATGATCCCCTATTGCCCGGGGGCCCCATGAGTTGTCAGTCCGCCCCTGGTCACTATATATCAGTGCCGGTTTTTAAATGCAATTGCCGGCTTTTTTTTTCTTCACTATAGTTCAGATAATGAGCTGTCACTTTCCCCAGAGCTAAAAGAAACAAAGTTTCTTTTTAGTTTATTTCCCCAAGCTAAAAGAAACAAAGATTTCCTTTAGCTCCCAGGAAAGTGACAGCTCATTATCTGAGCTATAATGAAAAAAAAAAAAAAGTCGACAATTGCATTTAAAAAATGCACAGACATATGCTCCCTTGCTGTATACACCGCTCCTCTCCTGCCCCCGCCATGCACACACTACTCCCCCATTACCCCACCCCCCTACAAAGATGGCCTGTCACTCATATCCTATCACATAGGAGACTGCTGGTCCCTTATGTGATAGCAATAAAATCATAAGTTTAAAAAAAATATATACATGAAAGTAGAAAAAAAAAAATTGGAGCCTCCCCACATACGCAGACATTTCAGTTTCGGTTCGGTTTTGGCCACATGCATTCTGAATTTTCAGTATCGGTTTCAGCACCACGATTTTCATTTCAGTGCACCATAAGAAATATATATACTGAAAAAAAATGGTGATGTGTTCAATACTTATTTTACCAGGTGTATATTGTGGTTTTTTTTTTGTTTTTTTTTATTTAATTAAAATGCATTTTTTCTAAAAAAAATTTGCGTTTGAAAAAGCCACTGCACAAATATCATATGACATAAAAAGTTACAATGATCGCCATTTCATTCTCTATGGTCATTGAAAAAAAAAAAAAATATAATATATTTAAGAAAGTGCAGCGCTTAAAAAAAAAATATATATATATATTGCGGAATGGTAAAGTGCAACACATAGGTAAAGTGCAAGCACATGCTTTTACTTGATGCACTTTACTATTTCACTCAGCTCATTAAATTCATGATGCACTTTACCATATTGTTTGATTTTTAGATTTCGCATTTACTAATATTTTTTGCACTTTTATGTGTTGCACTTTACCATTCCGCAAGTTTTTTTTTTTTTGGCACTGAACTTTGTTACATATACTACTGTAGGGGATTGTTACCGTCACCTTGTGTGCTAGCTGCTCCGTAGATATCGCCAGCGCTCACCTCTATATTAGATTCTGTTATATATTTATAATGTTTGTGGGTTATAAGTAATTTTCTACCAAAAAAAAACACATTTAAACAAAACTTGCCAGAAAATGCTTGGTTTTAGGGTCAATAAACAAGCCCATGTAAATGAGCCCAAAAGGTGAATTTATTACACGTTTTCCAACCACAAACTTTCTACAGTTCTCTCCTCTGTCAGTAATACTTGGCGATCACTGAGTGCCGGCGAGTAACAGTCAGCTGGGACCTGGTGATTGACAGCTGAGGCCACAAATGGCGGCACGGTTAGGGCATGCGCCCCCTACCCGGAAACTGCAAAATCATGTATATATACACGTGATTTTGCACACCCGTGTCGCCCTGTTGCAGTATTTTTGCTATAGGGGCAGCACAGTGGCTAAATGGTTAGCAACTCCGCCAGTACTAGAGTCATTGGTTCAAAATCCCAACCATGGCATCACCTGCCTGGAGTTTGCATGTCTCCCTGTGCCGGTTTCCTTCGGGTACTCCAGTTTCCTCCCACATCCCAAAGACATGCTGGTAGGTTAATTGGTTCCTGTCTAAATTTGCCCTAGTATGTATGATTTAGGGACCTTAGATTGTGCACCCCTTGAGGGATAGGGACTGATGTGAATGTACAATATATATGTAAAGTGCTGCGTAAATTGATGGCACTATATAAGTACCTGAAATAAAAATAATAAAATATAGGGCAGACGAAAAGTGGTTAATAGAAATTTCTTACAATGCTGAAGGTTTCCTGGTCCAGGTCATCTTCCTCTTCCTCTCCAATAGGAACTGGATCATTTCCTGCTGTAATATGGACCGGTCCCTGGTTCTTTTTGCTCCGAGTACCAGACTTGCCTTCACCCCGCTTTGGCTATATTGCACAGAAAAAGCATGGTCAATCATTACGCACAACAAAAAAAACAGCGCAAAATCTACAAACAAAATTACACAAGTGAACAAATATAAAAATAACAACAACAATAAGTGTCCATGTGAAAAGAAGTCCTTATTCCCATCAAGACCAATCCTTGGTGAGCAACAAGGATTGGGAACAAGTGGATTGAAATAAGTGGAGTTAAAACACAGGAGTTTAAACAGAAGGAGTTTACACTCCGTATGTAACAGTTTTTTACATACTTTTCTTTCTCTATACACCATTGAGAATTCCATGGAGGAATAAAGTGGAGGCGATGAATATTCTCAATCAGGGTGAAAAAAAAGATCTGATCTCTTTTGGAGGGGTTATAGGATCCCTTATTTCCTATAAGGCTCTTTACTCACCTCTATCTGGTGAGTGCGGTCAATATTATTTTTCACATGGTGGACAGGTGGAAGCACATTTTGAATAATTTACTATTGGTCTTGATGGGAATAAGGACTTATTTTCACATGGACACTTAGGGGTTTATTTACTAAAGCTGGAGAGTCCAAAAATCAGACTCCCTTCTGCATAGAAACCAATCAGCTTCTAACCTCAGCTTGTTCAATGAAGCTTTGGCAATGAAACCTGGAAGCTGATTGGTTTCTATGCAGAAGGGAGTCTGATTTTGGACTCTCCAGCTTTAGTAAATAAACCCTTTATTGTTATTTTTGTTCACTTGTGTAATTTTGTTGATTTTGCACTGTTTTTTTGTTGTTTATTATTGGTGTTTTCTCACTGTTGCACAGCTGCATAATCACTTAGTATTTTCTTTTTGGCGCTGGGATATATATTGTTAATCATTATGCACAACCACAGAATGATGAAATGATCAAATAAAAACCAGAATGGTAGCAAGTAGGCTATTACAAGGGGGCAGCATAATAAAAGGGACATGAAACTTGACATGGTCCAAGTATTTACAATGATCGCCCAAACCACCTGCTACAGATCAGTGATGGCTGATGGAAGGATATAACCGAAAACACAAGCATGCCATTTATCCAATTAGGTGAATTCAAATGCTAATGACAGAAAACACTTATGGTAGAGTAATGTCTACATAACAATACTGTGGCAAAAAAATGCATTGAGACTGAAACAATGGGGTTATATTTACTAAACACTGTTCACTTAGCAAATTGAATAGGGTGAATCCACATTCACACCAATCATCCAATCATGTGCACATGTTCAGTTAAGCAAAGTATACAAAGTTTGTTCTAATAAACTACTTTGCAAAAGTATAAAGTCCCAATATCCTATAGTAAATCAATGCCAGTGTTCATGTTTTCTCCTAGATTGTAAAGCTCCAACCCTCCTAACCCTCTTGTATTGAACTGTATTGTCTCGCGTTATTTTGTAAAGCGCTGAGCAAACTGTTGGCGCTATATAAATCCTGTATAATAATAATATAATAATTTTTTGCACCGCATACAGAATGGGGAGTCTGGAGCATATCATGTCCAGCACAGTGTACCGGTGGGGTGGTTTGAAGAATGGAACATATACTAAACTGGGCACACTTTTGTTATAATTGTAATAAGATCTGTCTGTACTACACACCATAATAAACTCTGTCATGAGAAAGTGTGTGGGTGGGGCTACCTCTCCAAATTTTGGTGTTTTTCTTTCATGCAATTATCGAATAAGGACCAGAATAGGAGTCACACTGTCAGAGGTGATTGTATTAGCCATAGCTGAGCCTACAAAAGCTGAAAAATATCCTAGCACAGAGTTCATCCGTATTTTATACCTTTTCTTTTGCTTTCTTCTTTTCTTTGGCTCCATCCTTTTTTTGGTTCTGTTTATCCTTATTTTCTTTGTTATCTTTTTTCTTTTGCTTTTTCTTGCTTGGACTCTTCAGCGAGCCATCCTCCTGTAGAAAAGGCCAAAAATCCATACTTTAAGCATACAAAAAAAAAAATGGCAATTGAGAAATGTTGCCTAAGAATATAAAATGGATTTCAATGGGTCAATTTGCTCCTGCTTTAGGAAACAATGCAGTGGAGGTAAGAGAAATTCAGCTGGGTAGTAAAATGGGATTTTTTGCACTTCCTGTAAAATGCTTTTCTCTCTTTAAACCCACTGTGAGGCAAAGTGTTACCACCTGCAACTGTTAGGCAGGCCATACATTATTCAATTTCTTTCCTTCAACTATGGGCTGAAAGAAAGTAAATTGCTTGATTCCTCCCGCGGAGGGTTTCCCAGCCATCAGAATATTATTACCGATAGCTATAGCTGGCAGCGATCAAACAGGAAAAACCCAACAGGCGCTCAATGGATAAACTTTCGTACAAGCAGCCTGTCCATAGATGGGTTAACATTCAGTCAGTTTTTCTGCTGAACTGGGCAAATTTCAATCCATCTATGCCCGGCCTTAGTTGTCTAACAAGCAGGCCAAGAGAGTTGGGTATATGGAGAACGGGGACTGAAAAGGGAGAAGCAAACCGTGTGCATAGGAAGAGCTGGGAAACATAAGCAAAATGGTGCCAACAAAACTAGCAGCGTTGACGTGTTCAGCAAAGTCTTACTTGAGTGACTGTGGCCAACTGGTTGGAGTACCCCTCGTTTGAGCCTTAAAGCCTGGTAGCTCTAGCTCACCAGAAAAGGGAATATCAAGGAAGAGGTGCACACCAAATTCCACTTGAAAAGTTAACCATAAAGCAAAGAATAAGTAGCACCTATTGCAAAAGTACAGCCCAATGGTGCCCCCAATGAACAAAAGAGAGGTGAAACTCACAAATACAAAGAATAGGAAAACTATGAGGAACTCAGGACCTCTGTGCATTTCATGATTAAGCCCATCTGTTGTGGAGGCACGCATGGGAGGAACAGGAAATGGTTTGGCAATGAGCAATGTGTTACAGTTTGGCTTTGTAAATTGCACTTTTTCAAAGAAAAAAAAATAGAGCAGACATGCAGCCTGTGTGTTTGTATTTGGCCGTCCCGGGAAGGAATGGATCCCTTAGGTATGCACCTGTGGTTGATGGATAATCTGGAAGACTGCCTGGAGCAGTAATATTTTTATACCCCTATACATTTGGCTGGAATTAAGTAGAATCTCCAACCAGTTAAAATAATAATCAACTGCACCTACCAACATACAATGAATTAGTAAAATGAAAATGGCCCCTTTATGGAACATTACAGGCAGTACATCTATAGATGTTTAAAAGAATTATGCCTCCGTATTTTACACTCTTGTTTGCACCAAAGATCTCATCCTTTATCTTGATTTCAGTATTGGAAATGTGTGGCCATTCTAAGCCCATAATTTGGTTTCCCATAATGCTCCTTACTCTACCAACCATCATCAAACTACCAACATCTACAGCTGGCCTCGCACACATTACAATTTGACACTCTCTAAACAAGTGGTTGTCAACCTATGAGCTAAGGGAGGTCTCAAATGCAGCCCGACATCACCAAAGGGCAGCACATAATGTTCAATATATGTAATGCTTGAGAGGACAGTCAGAAACTGCAGACTCAAGAGGAAATAAGGGGTAGAGAGTATGGACATGCTACATTTTTGGCCGGGGATTTTCTGTAGAAGACAATATAAAACTGAGAACATGTTACATGGGTCTAGTAGAAATCATTGCTTTTTTTCCTAGTCAGGGTTCCTACTACAAACTGGTCTGAGGGCCATATATCATATAGCAAAGGGCAGCAGGTTGGGCTCCAGGGTTTTAAATAATCTTAATTAGAATTAGTGTGAAGGACTATCTATTCAATTTTACCCAGTTAGGTAGGTCATTGTGCTGGTGGTAAATCTAAAGGGGAATGCACAGCCTGATTGTACCCTGTGTGACCAGCTTTATAAGGATAACACGCTCACCTTTGTGTCTCCATCTTCGGAATGGTTTTCAGAATTTTTGGGAGAAGAGATCTCATTGCCATGCTCATCCTTTGCTTTTGCTGCCACTTCTTTTTTCACACGTGGCCGTCTTTTCTTTATCTTTACCTGAAACATAAAGATCACAATTCAAAATCCAGATAAAACATGAGAACTGTACAAAATGTTCAAGCAGCTGTAGATATAGGCAAAAAAACTACAAACCCAGAATGCTTTCTCATTTTGAATATGCATTTCAAATTTGGTCATTAGTTCCTAGGAAGAATGACCTTGAATTTCAAAGAATTCAGCGAAGGGCAAAAAAATGATTAAGGGGGCTGGAGGACCTCAACAATTCCATAAATTACACTTGAACTGGATAGACCTGGGACTTTAGTCAACCTTATCAACTATGTCACTATGTGTAAGAATGATCAGTTTTGCAAAGAAGACTGAAATGATCCGAGATACCAACTTCAACAATCCTGACATTCTAGCAGATACGAACCTCATCGCCTTGGCCACTCTCCTTTTTCTCCATTTCTTTTTTCAGCATTTTTAGCAGATAGTCTGATCTGGTCTGCAAGTGTTTGGCTTGTGGTTTCTTCTCTGTTTCCGCTGGCAAGATCTAAGCACATAAATATCTGTCATGCACTTGGAAATGATAGACATAAAGGCAGTCTACATCTTGACATACATAAAGAGATTATTGAACAATATGGAAAAGTTTATACTGCAACCAGTAGTACATGCACCCTAACAGGTACTTCTGCTTGTTAACAAATTCATAATAACAAAATGGAAATTATAGCAAAGAGTAAACCATGCTATATGATCCAAGTAAAAAGTCTGTTAACTTATTTTAACACGACAAATTATGTAAATATGCAGTTGTACTCAAAGGTTTGCATACTTTGGCAGAAATCGTAAAATGTTGGCATTGATATTGAAAATATGACTGATCATGCCAAAAAACTATCTTTTATTTAATGCTAGTGATCATATCAAGCCAATTATTATCAAACAGTTGTTTGGCTTTTTTTTAAATCATAATAACAGAAATCACCCAAATGACCCTGATCAAACCTTTACATACCCCATGTACCTACATGCACACAAGGTGACACACACGGGTTAAAATGGCAATTAAAGGTTAATTTCCAACATCTGTGGCTTTTTAGATTGCAGTGGAAAATTCCGGGATCTCTTGATACTAAGCCCAGTAAAGGTAGAGTAAGGGCTCGTTCACACTTGGCTGTTTTGCCAACGCTTGCCAAACGCCCCTATAGCGTTTGGCAAGCGTTGGTCCGGCGTTTGCGGAGTGTTTTTTTTAACGCTCCGCAAACGCCGCATGTGCGGTTTAGCGGTGGTTGCTAGGCGTTTGCCGAGCGTTAATAACGCCCCACAAACGCCTATAACGCAGTTTGGGTGGTGTTACCGCTCCGCAAACACCCCGCAACCGCCTGGTGCCGCTCCACAAACGCCGGCCGGGCGTTTGCGGAGCGGCACCATAGACGAGAATAGGAGGCTTCAACGCCTCCTGACTCGTCCAGAGGCGTCCGTTTTGCCGCGACGCAACACGACGCGACGCAAACGCTCCCGTTAGAACAGCACCATGTGCTATAATGTGCAGAATTGGCAGAGGCGTTTGGGAAGCGGTAAAAACACTTCCCAAACGCCTCTCTGCCGCCTGCACACAGCGCTAGTGTGAACGTAGCCTAAGAAAGATTGCAGCCACAACTGCCAGAGGAATTGTTCAGGAAACAAAGAAAAACACACAGGTAACCTCAGGATAAATATATGCTGCTCTGGAAAAAGATGGGGTGGTTGTTCTGATATAGCACAATATAGGTAAAGTGAGAATGGTTGCAGCAACAACTGCGAGGAATTGTTTGGGATACAAAGAAAAATCCACAGGTGACTTCGGGAGAAATACAGGCTGCTCTAGAAAAAGACAGTGTGGTTGTTTTGAAGGGAGCACAATATTATTATTATTATTATACAGTATTTATATAGTGCCAACAATTCGCTCAGCGCTGTACATTACAATGGGGGACAGAACACGAGACAGTACAGTAACAATACAATACACGAGGGGTTCGAGGGCCCTGCTCCTTGGAGCTTACAATCTAGGAGGGAGGGGATAGTGGTACAGGAGGAAATGGCTGTGGGGGATGGAGTGGTAGGAAGAGTGGAGGAGATCGGCAATTAGGTGAGGGCGGGGTAGGTTTCCCTGAAGAGATGGGTTTTCAGGGTGCACCTAAAAGGTGAGGAGGGTAGGTGACAGACTGATGGATTGGGGTAGTGAGTTTCAGAGGATGGGGGAAGTCCTGGAGAAGGGCATGGGAGGAGGAGACCAGGGAACTAGAGAGTAGGAGGTCTTGTGAGGAGCGGAGAGTGCGTTTTGAGTGGTAGATGGATATCAGGTCGGTGATGTAGTTTGGGGCAGTGTTATGAACAGCTTTGTACGTCAATGTTAGTAATTTGAATTTTATGCGTTGGGCGGATAGCCTGTGTTGAGGTAGGCCAGTGAGGAGGGAGTTACAGTAGTCAAGTCGTGATATAAGGGAGTGAATGAGTTGCTTTGTAATTTCTAGAGTTAGGAACGGACTAATTTTGGAGATGTTGCGGAGGTGGAGTCTACATGAGTATGTCAGCGATTGGACCTGGGGCTGGAAAGACAGATTGGAGTCTAGAATGACACCTAGTACTCTGGCTTGCGGGGTGGGGCTGATGGTGGCATTGTTGGTCGTGATGGAGAAGTCGGGGGGGGGGTTAGGGCACGGGCTGGGGGGAAAACTAGGAGCTCGGTTTTGCACAAAAAAGCCTGGTTACTATATGCCTGACAACATCTTGAAACACCTCACCAGGCTTTTTTGTGGAATTGGTGCAGTAAAAGCTTCTTTTTGGCAACTCGACCATGCAGCTCATTTTTGTTCAAGTATCATCATATTGTGCTCCTTCAAAACAACCACACCATCTTTTTCTAGAGCAGCCTGTATTTCTCCTGAAGTCACCTGTGGATTTTCTCTGTATCCCGAAGAATTCCTCTGGCAGTTGTTGCTGCAACCTTTCTTACTTTACCTGTACTTGGCTTGGTATCAAGAGACCCCCAAATGTTTCACTCTGTTCAATAGGTGATTGAACAGTACTGACTGATATATTCAAGGACACCTTTTTATATTCTTTTCCATCTTTATAAAGTTCCATTACTTTGTTGTGCAGGTGTTTTGACAGTTCTTTTCTGTTCCCCATGGCTCAGTACCTAGCCTGTTTAGTGCATCCACATAAGAGCTAACAAACTCATTAGCTATTTATACACAGACACTAAATGCAATTTAAAAAGCCACAGATGTGGGAAATTAACGTTTATATACAATTTTAACCTTTAATTACCACCATGTGTGCCTGTACCAAGGCCAGACATTCCAGAGGATGGAACTTTTGATCATGCCTATTTGAGTGATTTCTGCTATCATTATGATTTAAAAAAAAGGTGTCGGGGTATGCAAACTTTTGAGCACAACTCTACGCCATTAGGCCTCATTAGTACTTAGAGCATTTTACCACCTCCACCCCTCCCCAATAAAGGGTTGGTTCACCTTTACAGAAAACAATTTAAGATGAACTAATACCCTACCTTCCACACAACTTCCCCACAGGTCCCTGCTGTACTTACCTCTGGGATTTTTGAGCTGTGAGCACCCCCGCAGATGCTCCACCGGTCCAGGTATTTAAAATACCTGCTCTGCAGCACTTCCAGATTTGGAAGGACCAGATTGATTCTGATTGGTCAATAATGACACAATGAATTGTACTGGTCCGTCCTGGAATTACTGCAGGGTGAGAGAGGGAGGGAGAAGGGCAGGGCTTGTAAGTCCCTGGAATGCTGGACCAGCTAAGAGGGTGATGACAGTTCAGCAACCCCTGAGGTAAGTACAGGGGGGTTTCAAGGGTGTACAGTGTTAGTTCACCTTTACATTTTTTCTGTAAAGGTGAACTAACCTTTTAAGCAAAGACAGCAGACAGGGACAGGGGCGGACTGACCATTTGGAAACTCAGGCATGCCCGAGGGTCCAGGGTCAGTAGGGGGCCCCATGAGATGCCCCTGGTACCTTTTTCATAGGCTTTTTTGAGTGGGCAAGAACAAATGATCCCCTTTGCCCGGGGGCCCCATGAGTTGTCAGTCCGCCCCTGGACGGGGATGTACATGTCACAACACTTTGTATGCCAGCAAAAATTATGCTTTCTCTCATGTTCTGTGGGCACAATTGTGACCCAAACAAAGGCACACGGCTGCACTGCAAAATGTCCTGCAACTGCGTGCAATCCAATGGTGCAGGTTTGCAGGGGTTAAAATAGGTAAATAGGGGTGTGAGGAGGTGATATTATTATTATACAGGATTTATATAGCGCCAACAGTTTGCTCAGCGCTTTACAATATAACGGGAGACAATACAGCAACAATACAGTTCAATACAAGAGGGATAGGAGGGCCCTGATCCTTGGAACTTACAATCTAGGAGCGATATAACGACTCCTTACCGTCTTTCAAATGCCCTCTAAAAATCAGTCCACCCATGTATCGTGTTTCAGACAGCAAAGCAAATAAAAGTACACGCTGGATATTTTGTATTCATTGGCTTTTTAGATAGGGTACATATTTTAATACACTAACAAAAGGCGAATATAAACACTGAGAGGGGTATTTTAAAATTGTTCAAAAAACTAGCAAGCACCTTATCAGCCAATTGTAACTCTGGGTCACTTTTCATGAGCTCCCAGTTTCCATAACCATGTTCGACAATTCCCAGGAGTAATCGAGAATCTTCTTCTACAGTCCAATCAACATCAAAATGAGCAGCTTTGACCCGACTGGACAATACGAACCTGACAAAAAGGAGGAGAAAAGATAAAGTAAACCTGTATGAAGCAAAAGACATGCGGCAAAGAGAATATAAAGGTTGTAAGGTTTCTTTTAGACGGGTGATTACATTTGAGCCAGGTAAGACCAACCTCTGGTACCAAGCAACACCCTTTTTTGGCATTTAGCTCCATGGCCTAACCTGCCTATAGTGCCATCATAAAAGACATAATATGGAGGAACCCAGGGCTAGAACAGGTTTTAACCATTTCAATACCGGGCAATTTTACACCTTCCTGCCCAGGCCATTTTTCACGTTTCAGCGCTCTCACACATTGAATGACAATTGCGCGGTCATACAACATTGTACCCAAACTAAAATTTTATCATTTTCTTCACACAACTAGAGCTTTCTTTTGGTGGTATTTAATCACCGCTGGGGTTTTTATTTTTTGCTAAATTAACAAAAAAAGACCAAAAATTTTGGGAAAAAAAAACACGTTTTTCTTTGTTTCTGTTATAAAAGTTTGTAAATAAATAATTGTTCTTCATAAATTTAGGCCGAGATGTATTCTGCTACATGTCTTTGGTGAAAATAACCCAAATTAGGATGTATTATTTAGTTTGTAGGAAAGTTATAAAGTTCACAAGCTATGGTATAGATCTGAATATTGATCAATCCTGAAGTACTGACAGCCAATCTAATTTCTTGAGGTCTAAGAATGTCAGAATAGTACAGATATCCCCCAAATGACCCCTTTTTGCAGAGTAGACAGTCCGACGTACTTCATAAGAGGAATGGCGAGTTTTTTGAAGTTGTATTTTTTTTGTCATAATTTTTCGGAAAATGAAAAAATTAAAAAAATAATTTTCACTATTTTTTTTTTTTACATACTGTCACCAGTGCAGTACAGCGTCATCATATAACTGGCATGGCGGTGAACAGGGACACTGACTGGTGACAGTATGAAAAAAAAAATATATATATATATATTTTTTTTTTTTAATTATTTTTAATTTTTTTATTACATTTTTTTAATTTTTTTTAAGATTTTTTTTTCATATTTTACTATGACCAAAGTAGTACAATGTTACCATAGTAACATTGTACTACTTTGGGGAAGTGATCAGTATTTTTTTTTTTTTTTACACAATTTGCTTATTGCAAAGAATTACTTTGCTATAAGCAAGCATTTACCTGAATGAAATCGATTCATTCGGTTTTTTTTTTTTTTGTGCTTAGCTGTGATTTGGTCACAGCTAATCACATGACATGTGCATGTGATTAGCTGTGACCACTCACAGCTAGGCACTAGTATACAATGGATGGCATGAATGAAGCCATCCATTGTATACAACTGTCATGTGACCTGCTGTGATTGGTCACAGCAGGTCACATGGTACCAGCAACGGGGGCGGTACTCAGATCTGTCATCGGCCGTGTCCGAGGTACACAGCCGGTGACAGATCGCGCCGCTGCGCGGCTCTGCATTAGCGCAAACTGCGCATGTGCAGGAGCACGCCAAATGGTGTGCACCCGGAGTGCAGAAGCACTTTTGAAGCCGCCAAACGGCCATTGGCCGGGCGGCTAATGGTTAAACATGCTGTGTCCACGATACATATAACTTTCATCACTGGAAAAACCATTGCATCTTCCCTTCTACTTAAACTGTGCTACTTTACCACTAGATTAGTGTGTTATAAATACATTACAAGGTTAAATATATATATAGACCTGCGCTAATAACCACAATAGATAATAATCTAAAATCAGGTGTAAAACATATAGCAGCTGAACACAAAAACCCTGATTCTAGGCAATCAACAATAAATACATAAAAGTGCAGCGCTTAAAAACTTACAAACAATCATAAGAAAACAGTGAAAAATGTGTCAAAAAAATAGTCCATCCAAAAATAAAAGAAAAGTCGCAGAGGCTGTGATGAAACAAAAGAAATCCAAGGACAGTTGTCGTGTCACCAACCACTACTGCAGAAGGCGTACCAGAAAAGCATGACCCCCTGTTAAGAGCGGTCAATCGTGTTTTGTTAACCTCCCTGGCGGTCTGATTATTTCAGATTATTGGTGCTGAAAACGGTACCATTATTTTGCATGGAAATATGTTGTTTTTTTATTGTAGGCCTGTAATTTTTAGGAATAACTCACTGAAATCTGTCCGAACAAGAGTCTAGTAAACATCCCGGGTAGGATAAAACTTGAAACACAAAATCATAAATTATAATTTATTAAATAATCATAAATAATAATATAATAATAATAAATTTAATACAATAATATAATCAAACCAAAAACACTGAAATTTGAAATAGAGTGCCAAGTTCACACATCGCTGAGCAAAGTCGCAAATTGTTTTCAGTGTCTGATGAGGAATTTCCCCCACGAATCATTATCACTCAATTCTGCAAGTGGTTCTGATTTACTATCGCTGTTCTCTAGCTGGTCTAAAACCGATTTTGACCTAAAGGGACGCTTTTTGGACGCCATGGACGTTTCTCAGTTTCCAGGCAGAAAGAACAGTCAAAATGCAGGCAGGGCGCAGGACAAAGCACTCGGGACAAAATGTACCGTATTTTCCGGCGTATAAGACAACCCCCTACTTTTCCTGTTAAAATATAGTGTTTGAGCTATACTCACCGTATAAGACTACCGCTCTCCCAACGCACATCAAATAAAAATTAAAAAACATCAGATTTTATTTCAATATGGTATGGTATTCTAATGATGAGGCACTATTCCTCCCATTGACACCAATGATGGTGCCCCATCATTAGTGTCAGTGTGTGAGGAATAGTGTCCCATCATTAGTGTCAGTGGGAGGAATCGTGCCCTTCATTGGTGTCAGTGGGGAGGAATAGCATGCCCCATCATTGGTGTCAGTGGGAGGAATCGAATAGCGCCCCATCATTGCTGTCAGTGGGAAGAATCGTGCCCCATCATTGGTGTCAGTGGGAGGAACAGCAGCCCCATCATTGGTGTCAGTGGGAGGAATAGCGCCCCATTATTGGTGTCAGTGGGAAGAATCGTGCCCCATCATCATTGGTGTCAGTGGGATTGGAATAGTTCTGTCCCCCATCGCTGAGTGAACTATTGGCGCTTTATAAATACTGTATAATAATAATAATCATTGGTGTCAGTGGGAGGAATAGCGCCCCATCATTGGTGTCAGCGGGAGGAATAGCGCCCCATCATTGGTGTCAGCGGGAGGAATAGCGCCCCATCATTGGTGTCAGCGGGAGGAATAGCGCCCCATCATTGGTGTCAGTGGGAGGAATAGTACCCCGTCAGTGGGGAGAGGAATAGTGCCCCATCATTGGTGTCAGCGGGAGGAATATCGCCCCATCATTGGAGTCAGTGGGAGGAATAGCGCCCCATCATTGGTGTCAGTGGGAGGAATAGCGCCCCATCATTGGTGTCAGTGGGGGAATAGCGCCCCATATTGGTGTCAGTGGGAGGAATAGCGCCCCATCATTGGTGTCAGTGGTGTCAGTGTCAGTGGGAGGAATAGCGCCCCATCATTGGTGTCAGTGGGAGGAATAGCGCCCCATCATTGGTGTCAGTGGGAGGAATAGCGCCCCATCATTGGTGTCAGTGGGAGGGGTCCCAACAGGTCAGTGGGAGGAATAGTACCCCGTCAGTGGGGAGAGGAATAGTGCCCCATCGTTGGTGTCAGTGGGAGGAATAGTGCCCCATCGTTGGTATCAGTGGGAGGAATAGTGCCCCATCATTGGTGTCAGTGGGAGGAATAGTGCCCCATCATTGGTGTCAGTGACACCAATGATGGGACACTATTCCTCCCACTGACACCAATGACACTTGCTGCCCCCTGTTCTAGTATGGTGCTGCTGCAGCCAGCATATGTGGTTGCAGCAGCACCTCTGCACTGCACACTTACCGGCTGCTCCCTCACTTGATTTTTGCGGGTCCGCTCGGCTCCGCCTCCTCGCCCGTGATTGGCCGCCTGTGCGCCTTTCCTGAGCTACAGTTCTGGCGGCCAATCACTGGTGAGGAGACGGAGCCGAGCGGCAGGAGTGAGGGAGTGGCCGGAGTGACTGAATCAGCAGCGCTAGCTGGATGGATCGTCGTGGGAGCCAGGTAAGAGACTGCAGCCCCTCTGCCCACCCTTGTATTTAGTGTCCCTTCCGTCAGAAGGGGGGGACGGCGGCGGCACCGCACCGCCCCCTAAAAAGTGCCGCCCTGACGTATACCGGCGTATAAGACGACCCCCGACATTTGAGAAGATTTTCAAGGGTCAAAAAGTCGTCTTATACGCCGGAAAATACGGTATGTGAAATGCATTGAAACAGCAATGTTTTATTTTGTAATATTCGTTTACAAAAAAATGACATTTTTTAATTTGCTGCCGGTTCCGGCGCCCGTACGTCCCGACGTCCCAGGGACAGGAACAGGGAAGCCGGATGCCAGCAACGGCCGGAGGACATGGTTGGGGACGCTGCAGGGGACACATCGTGGGAGCGAAGGACAAGGTAAGTGCTGCAGGGACTCCCTGAGCAACACCGCATGGTAAGCCCGAGTGTAGCTAGGGGTTACCGCTCTTGGTACTGAAATTTTACCCCGAGCTACACTCGGGAATACCGCCAGGGGGGTTAAACAATCCAGATGCCCCTGATGACGTTACCTGTGACAAAACACATAGGGTGGAGCCACGCACATACACTACTGCATGCACATGCGCAAACGGTCGGCGGCCATTTTGGAAACTGTAAAATTTAGATTTTTTTTTTTTTTGCCAATCAATGCTCAATGATGTTTGCTTACGTGAGTGCAACCATACTTTAAATAAATGTTGTGATTATGGTTTTACACTATGTGGAGCGCTCTTTCTTTGCATGTTTTCACTACGAGTCCAAGCCTTATCGTGGATAGCTGGCTACCCTAATTAAGGTCCATTGTTTGGAAGATCCTTATCTGCTGGTTTGGCGATCTGGAGGAGGATTCGAGTGACCGGCATTCTGGATTGTTTAACAAAGCGAGATTGGCCACTCTTAACAGGGGGTCATGCTTTTCTGGTACACCTTCTGTAGTAGCGGTTGGTGACACGACACCTGTCCTTGGATTTCTTTTGTTTCATCACAGCCTCTGGGACTTTTTTTTTTTTTCTTTTTTTGGATGAACTATTTTTTTTTTACACATTTTTCACTGTTTTCTTATGATTATTTGTAACTTTTTAAGTGCTGCACTTTTATGTATTTATAAATACATTACAATAAGGCCACATATTATTAGGCCTTTTACAGGGCCCTTGTCATTTATATGGGAGATATACAAAAAATACACTTTAATACAAAACTGTACTTTGCCATAAAAATAGGTAAATTGTGTCTTTCTTAAGAGAGCAAATCCAAAAGACACAGTCAGTGACTTACTTTTTCTTTTCTTCGGCATCTTTAGGAATGGCTTTGTTGAGAATCTCAAAGTCATCTTCATGTTGAATAATTGCTTTCACGTTTACTTGGACACCGGAAATTTTTATAGTTGGACCTCTTCTTTTGCCTGGACCTTTGCCTGGGACAAAATAAATACAGCTGCATGATTTTCTGAAGGAATGACTAAACTTACGGTTATCCTCATAGAAGGTGGTAGGATATTGCTGCACATAAGTTATGTTAAAGTGGTTGTAAACCTCAGACATGAAATATGAGCAATGCATATCCCTCTATGGTGTGTACTATGCATATCCCTCTATGGTGTGTCTGCTGCTTCATTCCTCTGCTATCAGCATGAATCTCTTCTGTTGAGTTTTCTTGACATCAAGAAAAATGGTGACAGGGGAGGGACCTCCAGCAGATTGACAGCCTCAGCTCTGTTCCTGTGAGCTGTGCTTAGAGGGGTGTGTCTCTTCCCTCCAATCAGCTCCTAGAATTTTCTTCACTGAGCTCTGCAGAATGTAACATCAGCTCTCCTTTCCTTTTTTCTGAACTCTTAGACAAGCTTTAACATTCAGCACTTTGAATGGATGTAGAGAAGAGAATGCAGATAAATAGGTACAACGTATGAAGGAAGGATTTGTTTTATCTCTGTGTATCACCTGAGGCCAGTCACTTCTCTGGGCATATGGAAGGGTTTAAAACCACTTTACGGTTACTACATCTCAGGAGCTCATAGATTGGATTATCATATTGAGAACTAGAAAATCCAACCATGCTTTAGTAGGAAGATACTCTCTTCATTTTTTAACAATCTTTTTTTTTCAATAACAATGTACAGGTGACCAAATCACTACAATTAGTTCTTAGAATATCTATGTTATAATGAAATTGCAAAAATTACCATCGGTGGGATTCTCTTTCAACTGTTCTTCAAACTCTTGCATTGCTGAGGTGCAGCTAGTGTGCAGTAAATCTCCCAGCCTCTTCAGATCTGCCACCGACTTTTCCAAAAGCTCTGCATCACGTGCGATACACTCCAACCTGAGAGCAGCAGGAAAGCATTATAGTCTGAGATAAGTTATCCTGTACAAGTACAGACACAGAAGATGTTGAATACAACATACCTTTCAAGTGGAGTCGGAAACTTCTTGTAGGCTTTGATAAACCTAGAATAAAACAGAATTATTAAAAAAAGGAACCCCCGGCTGCAAAGAAAAGCACTATGTAGGCTTGGCAGTAAAGCAGGATTTACAATATAAAGTCTACACACATGCCAATCAGAAGTACATTACAACCAACATGCATTTTCTCTATACCTTCGTATCTCTGCATCTGTGAATCCCTCTACTGTGTCTTTCCGAACACTGCGAGGACGTCCTCTGCGCTTTGGCTTTCTGTCATCATCAGAGTCATCAGTATCACTGTCCGACCCAGAGGACCTCTGAGCCTTCTGCTTTGACTCCAGGTCAGACTCGCTGTCGTTTGCTTGGGCCTGCCAGATGAAGTCAACATAAGCTTGATTTAAGGGTCTTTTCAGTGTTTTGCTGAGTGCACATCATATACACATTCTGTACATTAGTTTCATGCAAAAAGTGCATTCTGGCAGAAGATACAGTGGTGGCCAAAAGTTTTGAGAATGACACAAAGTCTGCAGCTTCAGTGTTTTTAGATCTTTTTGTCAGATGTTACTATGGTATACTGAAGTATAATTACAAGCATTCCATAAGTGTCACAGGCTTTTATTGACAATTACATGAAGTTTATGCAAAGAGTCAATATTTGCAGTGTTGACCCTTCTTTTCAAGACCTCTGAAATTCACCCTGGCATGCTGCCAAACAACTTCTGGGCCACATCCTGACCGATGGCAGCCCATTCTTGCATAATCAATGCTTGGAGTTTATTAGAATTCGTGGGAATTTTTTTTTTGTTCACCCGCCTCTTGAGGATTGACCACAAGTTCTCAATGGGATTAGGTCTGGAGAGTTTCCTGGCCACGGACCCAACATTTCGATGTTCTATTCCCCGAGCCATTTGGTAATCACTTCTGCCATATCGCAAGGTGTTCCATCATGCTGGAAAAGGCACTGTTCGTCACCATACTGTTCATGGATGGTTGGGAGAAGTTGCGCTCGAAGGGTGTTTTTGTATCATTTTTTATTCATGGCTGGGTTCTTAGGCAAATTTGTGAGTGAGCCCACTCCTTGGTTCAGAAGCAACCCCACACATGAATGGTCTCAGGATGCTCTACTGTTGGACATGACCCAGGACTAATGGTAGCACTCACCTTTTCTTCTCTGGATAAGGCTCTCTCTTGATGCCCCAATTGGAAAGGGGATTCATCAGAGAAAATTACTTTACCCCAGTCCTCAGCAGTCCAATCACTGTAACTTTAGCAGAATATCAGTCTGTCCCTGATGTTTTTCCTGGAGGGAAGTGGCTTCTTTGCTGCCCTACTTGACAACAGGCCATCCTCCAAAAGTCTTCACCTCACTGTGCGTGCAGGTGCAACTTTAGGAGATGGTCCTGGTGCTTGCTGGACAACCACAGCGCCATGGTAGTTAATTGAGAACAACAAGCCAACAGGCCGTCAGTACTTGTAGTTCATTTACTCACAGAACACGGAATGAATGATGTGGCAATGTGGGTGGAGCCCCACATGGCCGCACTGTTTTTCAAAATGACAGCTAGAACGGAGAACTGTGGCTGCAGCATTGGAACATGTTCCACCATAAAAATGGGTGGAACATGTAACATGTTCCCAAAGGTGAACTTATCCTTTAACAGGCTGCTGCTGTGCACATATAAACCTGAGTGAAGTTTTTAATTGTGTCATTTCCTACCCTTTTGTTCAGGCTTCGAATCCTGGGAAGCATGTAGATCTCATCAAGCTCCTTCTGACGTGCCTCTTCCTCTACCTTCTTCCTCTGGTCCTCAGGAATAATATGTTCCCAATCTTTTTGGCCACGGTTTTTCCAGTTCAGGCTCTTCTTCCATAGTTGAAAAATTGGCCACCTGAAAAAGCATCAACAATAAATTTCTTTAAAACAAGAATGATAGATTTTGAAAATCTTCGGTAAAGAGCCTTCAGGTTCCTGTACCTTTCTACCTTTTACAAATAAAGACAAATTTAGAAGGAATAAGGCATACCTTAAACTGAGATAACAACTCATCGGTGGCACTGGAGGATGGCTCATTCTCTCTGGTCTCTGCCAGCCGTAATATCTCATCAATGTCCATTTCCTATTTGTACAGAAAGTAGAATTAATGGCAGAAAATTCACAAACGTGGTAGATTTCAGCTATTAATTTTGAGTTAGGAAATTCAAATTAAATTTCAACCAGTGTAATCCATTAGGGGTTATTTACCAAACTGCATGGTGCAAAATCTGGTGCAGCTCTGCACACAAACCAATCATCTTCCAGGTTTTATTGTCAAAGCTTAAATGAACAAGCTGAAGTTAGAAGCTGTTTGGCTGCCATGCAGAGCTGCACCAGATTCTGAGTAAATCTCCCCAATTGTGTCTACCACTCAGCGACAAAGTCAAGACTGGAGGAGGAGTATAATGTGGTAGATGTGAAAGCTGTGGAACTCTGTTCTAGTCTAGAACAGGTTGGTTGCACAACTTTTACACCATCCATTGTTTACTTGCACAATCAACATCTGCCTTGACACATTCCATGGTGATTGGATTAGAGTGTCTGTGCTACCTCTATGGATATAAATACTAGGGTATATGTCTAGCACTTACCAGAACTGAAGTTGTGCCTTGGTTAACCACTTGCCGACCGCGCTATAGCCGAATGACAGCTACATCGCGGTCGTCCAGTTCTGCACCCGGCGCGCTTTGTGATTGCGGTGTCCTTCGGATACAGCTGATCAAATATCATGGAAAAGGGCAAATCACAGTGGCTGTTTACTAATTGATCGGCTGAGTCCAATCACAGCTGATCACGATGTAAACACATTTGCTGGTTATTAGCAGTAATTTCCTTGTCACAGGGTGAGGAAAGTACAGCTGATAACCAGCAAGTGTGAAAGGAGACATCTACACTGATAATCAGGGTACTGATCACCAGTGCCCTGATTATCAGTGCAGCCCCAACAGTGCCCATAAATGCTGCCTATTAATGCCAGTGTCCACCAGTGCTGCCAGTCTATGTCCCATCAGCGCTGCCAATCGGTTCCTATCAGTGCTGCCAGTCAGTGCCACCTATTAATGCCCTTCAGTGCTGCCTATCAGTGCCCTTCAGTGCTTCCTATTAGTGCAAATCAGCGCCACCTATCAGTGCCTCCTTATCAATGCCCACCAGTGCTGCCTCATCAGTGCCACATATCAGTGCTGCCCATCAGTCCACATCAGTGCAGCCTCATCAGTGCACAGCAGTGAAGGAGAAAAATTACCTGTTTGCAAAATTTTATCATAAAGAAAACATTTTTGTTTTCAAACTTTTTGGTCTATTTTAGTTTGTTTAGCAAAAAATAAAACAACTCAGTGGTGGTTACATACCACCAAAAGAAAGCTTATTTGTGTGAAAACAAAATTATAAAAATGTCATATGGGTACAGTGTTGCATGACTGCACAATTGTCATTCAAAATGTGACAGTGCTGAAAGGTAAAAATTGGCCTGGGCAGGAAGGGGGTGAAAGTGCCCAGTAGGCAAGTGGTTAAAGTGTTACTAAACCCACAACAGTAAAATCAGTCTGTATATGCAGTAAAGCATACTTGATATACTCAACTGTGGAACATAAGGGGTTAATCCTCTGCATTGTGTAAAAAGGATGTTTGATCCTGTCTTCTCTGTCCCTCCTCTTGTTCAACTGTCCATGCTGATAAGACAGACTGAACCCGTAGCCCTTCCGCACATGCTCAGTTTAATATGTATGAGTTTTTTTGTTGCTTGGGAGAGTGCATGTGATCAGCACAGGGTCAATCAGCACTGTCCAGACAGAGGTCCGGGGTTTTGCATCCTCCTGGAGAAGAAAGAAAACTCCTCCTACAAGCTTTAACCAGTGCTCTGCTGAAGTTACAAGACTGCTCTAACTGCTGATGAGAAAAGGTATTTAGCAGTTTATATTTACTAAAATGATTACACTTCCATGTTCTGTGTACTGTGGGAGACCAGATATAGTGAACGCAGGGTCTGGGGAGACCAGATATAGTGAATGCAGGGTCCGGGGAGACCAGATATAGTGAATGCAGGGTCCTGGGAGACCAGATATAGTGAATGCAGGGTCCGGGGAGACCAGATATAGTGAATGCAGGGTCCTGGGAGACCAGATATAGTGAATGCAGGGTCCTGGGAGACCAGATATAGTGAATGCAGGGTCCGGGGAGACCAGATATATAGTGAATGCATGCAGGGTCCTCGGAGACCAGATATAGTGAATGCAGGGTCCTCAGAGACCAGATATAGAGAATGCAGGGTCCTCAGAGACCAGATATAGAGAATGCAGGGTCTTGGCTTTAGTAACACTTTAAGCTATAAAAGATCTTCAACATTACAGAACAAATCCAGTTGAATGTATCCAACTACTAATAGCTATGCCATGGCCTGGATAAATGCGAACCTTCACAGATATATTCTCGCCAATGACTCTTAGCTCAAAGAATCAGAATAAAACAGAGAAAGAAAGGCTAAATAGGGGAGAATATATAAATGCTTCAAAAGAAAGTCTGCATATATATATAATAATTGCTGACTGAACATTCAGATTCTCGCTTAAGCACAATTATGACTGGTACTCCTAAATTTTAGGCATTTACTTTAGAACCACCTGAACAATATATTTTTTTAAATTGATTATTGCATGGATGAGAGAATGAGCTGTAAGCCATAATCATCACAATGATGACAAATCACGGCTTGAACTATCTTGCTTTGCATGTAATGAGTCTATCTCATATATTAGTTTCACCTTTTAAGTTGCATTACTGAAGTAAATGAACTTTTGCACAATATTCTAATTTTTTGAGTTTCACCTGTATATAAGGAAACCAGCTGCAGGCTAACTCAAATTGAGACATTATTCTACTTTTTATAGTAACACCAAATCTCAGCCTATGGTTTATTTTAGGTTAGTCCTGGTGTGAAGAGAAGTTGAAGCTCTCAGTACAGCTGGGACTAGGATGCCAGGTGCTCCACAAGAACAATCTGAATTTTAGTTGATCCAGGGAATATCCGATTGCCTCTCGGGGGATCAGGAAGGAATTTTTTCCCCTGCAGGAGCAAATTGGATCATACTTTACTGGGTTTTTTTGCCTTCCTCTGGATCAACTGTGGGTATAGGATTATAACTTTTCTTTTTTTTTTTAATGGTTGAGCTGGATGGACTTTCGTCTTTTTTCAGCCAGATTAACTATGTAACTATGCAACTAACACAGCTACCTCCAAGCACCATACTTCTTGGGTCAGGATACCTGGAGAAGGGGCTGGAGAGGTGCACAGCTCAGCTTCAAGTCTTACAGAAGGTAACCTCTCTATAGTATGCACCTTAGTTTCAAAGTCTCTTGTCACAAACAAAAGATAAGAGGATTTTTAAAGATACTTAGAAATATTATACTCTGGCTGTATTATGGTAATACATATTGATATAGGTGGATCTTCATTTTACAACTCTTTATTTTAATGGACTCAAAGGCCTTCTGGGTTAACTAAAAGCATATGCAAACTCTAGAATTACAGTGTTGCTGCCAATGTCTATGTGACCCTAAACTGTGGTAATCACCAATCCTAAATCAAGTCAGTTTGTTCCTCATGCCTAAACCTTAAAGAAGTATTCCAGGCAGAAAAAAATCCCATTAAATGGGCACAGCTGCACTGTATGGATTAAAGTGTTACTAAACCCAAAACAGTAAAATCAGCCCGTTAATGCAGTAAAGCATGATTGTTATACTCATTGTGGAACCTAAAGGGTTAATCCTCCGCAATGTGTAAAAAGGTTGTTTTTTCACCTCACGGGACTTTGTGCATATTGTTTTTTCACCTCACGGGACTTTGCATATTGTTTTTTCACCTCATGGGACTTTTTTTTTGCACTTTTTTTAATTATTATTTTATATTTGTTATACGTTTACAATTGAGCACATCATATTATGTACGGTTGGATGTACTGTGTATATTAATGACACGGTTGTTATTTATGTGGTTTTTGTGCCTGGAGCACTTCTGTTTTCTGTTGGGAGGTTGGAGCACAACTTTTTGGGTTTAGTCCATTTTTGGACTTTTTGTTTGTTGTTTGCATATCACTATTAGATCCGTTTAGGATCATTTGGGGCACTACTGTTATTTGTTGGTCCCTATTTGGACGTGGTAGGTGGCACCTTGTCGCACGTGTATTGTGTGAGTGATATAGATACTCATGTGCATCACTATTTATATATATTGTTTTATTATTGCATATGGTTTTATGTATATTTATATATGTGCATATTTACACTCTTACACATTTATTTGATATTTATGTGCATATTGGTATATTTATTTCATTTTATGCCATTTGTGGTGGGGTTTATATGGTATTAGCACCACATTATTTTTTTTTGTTATTTCGCGTTTGTAAAAAGGTGGTTTGATCCCGTCTTCTCTGACCCTACCCTTCTTCTACTGTCCCCAATCCATCTCCTTATAGTACAGAGCTCTGAGAGTCACTCTGCAAATGCTCAGTTTAGAGTGTATTGCTAGAGAGTTTTTTTTTTTTCTTTGGGAGGGAGCATTTGATCAGTACAGGGCCAATTAGCACTGTCCAGAAAGAGGAACAGGGGTTATGCAGCCCCAGAGGACAGTCAGAGCAGAATGAAAACTCCTCCTACAAGCATTAACCAGCGCTCAGCTGGACATTGATAGAAATTACAAGACTGTACTGTATATAATGCGGATGAGAAAATGTATTTAGTAGTTTATATTTACTAAAATACTTGCATTTCCATGTTGTACGTACTGTGGGAGACCAGATATAGTGAATGCAGGGTCCTGGGTTTAGCAACACTTTACTTGCTCATTTTTACCTAGGGGCGAGGGAAGCAAAGATATACTTTCCTAATCTTCCGATCCTCCGAGCACCAAAACCTAAGTGGCTTAGTACCTTGTGATCTCTGTGAACCAATCACTGTGATCCCAAGTGTAAACACTGCCTATGTTTACAGAAATTCTTCCCTCTCTTTCCTCTCACAACAAAGAAAGCAGGATAGTAGGAAGGGAGAGATGACCACTGACCAGCAAATGATGGAGGGGGGGGGGGGGGGGGTATAAAATACCACTCACCACCAATGATTGGTGAAGGGGCAAGTATTATTGCTATGACTTGACTACAATGGGCAACTTTTGAAGGCTTTGTGTGCTGTAATTTCTTGTAGGAGTGTAATTGACTATTATTAGATGACATTTTCTAGTTAGTGAATTTCTGATCAGCCCTTATATTCCACTAACAGGCTCAATATGCTGGACTGAAAGGATCTATGAGCATCCCTACAGTGCATTGCCCAGTGTTAGCAAGCTTTCACTTACATCTTACACAGACATCTAACCTGAGGTTCAGATTCCTCTCCTTCAGGTTCCTTAAAGAGATCTGCTGCTCCAAACTTTAAAATAGCCGCCAACTCCTCTTTGTTAAATGGATTGGAACTACAAGAGACCAAAATCAGCAATATAATAAAAATATTATCATAGATAAAGGTAGCATGTTTCAACTTCACTAGATTCATTGCCATTCTCTTGCTCTTACTTTGAACTTCCAGAGTTGTTTTCCAGCACCGTTCGGCCAGTGGTGTCCATCCGCTGGATTACGAGATGGTCAAGAACCATCTTTTTCTTTGCCCGTTCTATGATCTCTTCCTCTACAGTGCCCTTGGTGACAAGGCGGTAAATGTTTACCTATATAAAATAAACTTCAAATGTTAAAATATTATTTATGAAAACAGGAAGCAGAATAGGCAACAATGGAAAGTAAAAAATAAAAATTATATTTATAAAAATATTTTCACCCCAGAGTTGCACAACTTTCAACCAGGATTCAAACATTTTCCCAAAAAATGCAATTTATAAGAAAGTGTGAAGTGTGAATATTGGGTGAATAACACTGCTTCAGGATTCCAGTTATGTTACGTTATGATCTTGTCAGATATTTGTCAGGGTCAACATACACTTTAGGAGGAGTGTGTTTTCTATTTTTTACATATACACTTTAAAGCAGGCCATAGATGATGCAAATTTCTCAGGTTGCAGGAAAGAAAAATCGCTCAATTCCTCCACCAACACAGTCAGTGTTGATGGGGGAATCTCTCCCCCAGCACTATTGTATTCTGCCAGTGGGGAGACTTCCCTACCAGCAGAACACAATGGTCACTGCTAGCGGCTATAGCTGCTGGCAGTGATTCCATGCAAAATGATCACTGCTAGCGGCTATAGCTGCTGGCAGTGATTCCATGCAAAATGATCACTTCTAGCAGCTATAGCTGTCAACAGTGATTCCATGCAAAATGATCATGATCACATCTAGCGGCTATAGCTTCTAGCGGCAGTGATTCCATGCAAAATGATCACTTCTAGCAGCTATAGCTGCCGGCACTGATTCCATGCAAAAAATGATAGCACGTAGTGATTGCTAGCACTGCTATAGCTGCTGGGAGTGATTGCATGCAAAATGATCACCGCTAGCGGCTACAACTGCTGGCAGTGATTCCATGCAAACTGATCACTGCTAGTGGCTACAACTGCTGGTAGTGATTCAATGAAAAGTGATCACTGCTAGCGGCTATAGCTGCCAGCAGTGATGCCATGCAAAATGATCACTACTAGCAGCAATAGCTGCTGGTAGTGATTCCATGTAAAAAATCAGATAGTCTGGTTGTACGGATGTTGACTGATTGATCTACATCAGTACAACCAGCCTGCGCAAAGATGGATTGAATCTCCGTCAATCCCTGCTGAACCGGCTGAAAGTCGATTCATGAATGGCTGGTTTAAGGCTAGGTTCACACTGTAGCGGGTCCGGTAGTGTGTGTAAATCGAATGCATTCTCTCCATCCCAAAGACAAAATGTGCTGCTGTTTAGCAGATGTGCGGCAGAGATGTGCGTGGAGATGCCACACACTGTGGCTAAACACATTTCCTGCAAGTGTATCAAATGAATGAGCTGCTGTACCCACAAGGACCCACTACAGTGTGAACCTAGACAAAGAGGTATGAATATGGGGCTTACTGAGACTAGTAACTCAACATAAACTTGTTTGATGATGGCTTCTATCTGAATTGTCAATAAGAGCCACTGCTACACTTGCCTATGGGAACTCACCTAATACTATAAATGTTTCTATAATGAAACTTGGGATTGTTAAAAAAAAAAAAAAAGACTCCGGAAGCCTCCTCTGAGTTTACACAACTAAATGGTAATGTTTTTTCCAGTCCTCCAACTACACACCATGGTTAAGCAGGTTACTGATACGAACTTGCAATTGACAGATTATACTGTTAACTCTCCTGGCAATCAAGCAATGCAAGAAATTGAACTATTGGAAGGTTGAGATTACTTTCCTACCAAGTAGACAAGCTAGATGTTTATTTTTTGTTTTGAGCTTCACAGTATATACGGGTATTATGGTGCCAGTGACGTAGTGTGGGCTGTCAGTGCCCTGGGCAAGGCGAGTAATTTGCACACACTAACCTGTGGACTTTTAGCACTCCCTTTATCTCTATCCCTCTTTTTTTTTTTAATCTATTACTTCTTCTCACCCATTTTATTTTTCTCTCTCCCTCTCTACCATTTATGCTTTCTTTTCCCCCCCTTTTCTTCTCCTCACTCTCTCTTTTTGTCCCTTTCTTCCTCTCTCTCTCCCCTCTGTTTCACTTTCCTTTCTCTGTCACTCTCTTGTGCTATTATCTTTCTTTCTCTCGCTTTTTCTTTGTTTCTTTTTCCCCCTCTCTCCCATGTATTCTGTCTTTTTTTCTCACACACACTTTCCCTCTTCACTCTCTCACTCTATTTTTCTTTCTGTTCTCCTTTCTTTCCTTTTTATCTCTTTCTATTCCTATTTCTTGTTCCCCTCCCCCCATCTCTCCTTCTATGTTTCCCTTTTCTCTCGCGCTCCGTCTTTCTTATGCCTTTTGTCTCTTCTTCTTTCTCTTTCTTTTTCTATGTCCCTACCCCTCTCTGTTCCTCTCTCTTCCATGCATTCTGTCCCTTCTCTTTCTCCCTCTTGTTTTTCTCTGTGTTACACCCACTTTCTTTCCCTCCCTTGTTCCTCTTTCTCTCTTGGAAGTGAATGGCTACATGTACATTTAGCATTGAATGTATCATATAGAATAAAGTACTAACCACACACAATATATATATATTGTGGACACAGGCACAATTCTAGTTTATTTCAGGTATTTACCAAAACATATTCAAGCTATAGTTATATAATGGATATGGGCTGAAAGTACACACTCTCAGGTTTAATTTGAGGGTATATACATCCAAATTGGAAGAATAGTTTAGGAATTACAGTTTTTAAGAGTAGCCATCCCCCATTTTTCAAGGGACCAAAAGTAATTGGACAATTGAATCAACAGCTATTTTATGGCCAGGTGTGGCTACTCCTCATTATTTCTTCATCAATTAAGCAGGTAAAAGGTCTGGTGCATTGATTCTAAGTGTGGTATTTGCATTTGGAATCTATTGCTGTGAATCTACATCATGCGTTGGAAGGGGCTGTCCATGCAAGTGAAACAGGCTATTGTAAGGCTTCAAAAACTAAACAAATCCATCAGCGAGATAGCAGCAACATTAGGATTGGCCAAATCAACAGTTTGGTACATTCTGAGGAAAGAAGAACGCACTGGTGAGCGCTCAGCATCATAAAAAGGCATGGATGTCCACAGAAGACAACAGTGGTGGATGATCACAGCATTCTCTGTATGGTAAAGAAAAAATCCATTCACAACATCCAGACAAGTGAAGGACACTCTCCAGGAGGGCAGGCGTATCATTGTCAAAGTCTACAATCAAGAGAAGACTTCACAAGAGCAAATACAGAGGGTTCACCACAAGGTTCAAACCATTCATGAGCCTGAAGAATAGGAAAGCCAGATTAGACTTTGCCAAAAAAACATCTAAAAAAGCCAGACCAGTTCTGGAAAAGCATTCTTTGGACGGATGAAACTAAGATTTAATCTGTACCAGAATGACGGGAAGAAAAAAGTGTGGAGAAGGCTTGGAACAGCTCATGATCCAAAGCACACGTCATCTGCAAAACATGGTGGAGGCAGTGTGATGGCATGGGCATGCATGGCTCCAGTCCAGTGGCACTGGGTCATTGGTGTTTATTGATGATGTAACAGAAGACAGAAGCAGCCGGATGAATTCTGCAATGTTTAGAGATATACTGTCAGCCCAGATTCAGTCAAATGTTGCAAAGTTGATTGGACGATGCTTCACAGTACAGATGGACAATGATCCAAAACACTCTCAAAAGCAACCCAGGAGCTTTTGAAAGAAAAGAAGTGGAATATTCTGCAATGGCCGAGTCAATAACCTGATCTCAACCCAATTGAGCATGCATCTCACTTGCTGAAGGCAAAACTAAAGGCAGAAATACCCACAAACAAAGAACAACTGAAGACAGCTGCAGTTAGAGCCTGGCAAAACATCAGAAAGGAGGAAACCCAGTCTTTGGTAATGTCCATGGGTTCCAGACTTCAAGCAGTCATTGCCAGTAAAGGATTCTCAACAAAATATTAAAAATAAACAATTTATTTATGATTATATTCATTTGTCCAATTACATTTGAGCCCCTGAAAATGGAAGGGACTGTGTAAAAATGGTTGCAGTTCCTAAAATTTGTACTTGATATTTATGTTCCAACCCCTTGAATTAAAGCTGAAAGTCTGCACTTCAAATTCATTTGGATTGTTCGTTTTAATTTATTCTGGTGGCATACAGAGCCAAAAAGGTATGAAAAATTTCCCTGTGTCCAAATATATATGGACCTAACTGTATATACATAAACACACACACACATATATAAATGTATTTTTTTTTTTAAGTACACGTGCAATATATGCACTTTCACATACACTCACCGGACACTTTATTAGGTTCACCTGTTCAATTGCTAGGTAAAAATTGCTATTCAGTCAATCACATGGCAGCAACTCAATGTATTTAAGCATCTAGACGTGGCGAAGATGACTTGCTGAAGTTCAAACCAAGTATCAGAATAGGGAAGAAAGGGGATAAGTGACTTTGACATGGCACATGGTTGTTGGTGCCAGATGGATGGTTTGAGTATTTCAAAAACTGCTGATCTACTGGGGTTTTCACACACAACCATCTCTAGGGTTTACAGAGAATGGTCCGAAAAATTTTAAATATCCAGCGAGTAGCAGTTGTGTGGAGGAAAATGCCTTGTTGATGTCAGAGATCAGGAGAATGGGCATACTGGTTGCTGCAACATTCAGATGGTGAGTCAGAATTTGGCATAAACAACATGAAAGCATGGATCCATCCTGCCTTGTATCATCAGTTCAGGCTGGTGGTGGTGGAATGGTATGGGGGATATTTTCTTATCACTAGCAAGTTGTACCTATAAAGTGGCCAGTGAGTGTATATGTATATTGCACCCAATGAATGACTGTCTTTGGCCATAGACCCCCCCCCCCATACAGCATCCTTCTTCTGTATTGGTCCGGGGCTGGTGGCTGTGTTACACCTCCGCTGTGACAGATGCGTAGTGTCCACAATGTGTGTATCGTGTGTATTGCGCTCATGCTGCCCCTCTTGTGAGTGCCTGCACTGGTGATCGGAGATGAGTGACCTCTCCTCCTGCATGTATCCTGGCTGTAGAAGAGGAGACCTGCCTTAAGTGGAGATGTGCTGTACAGTGTAGCGGGATGTCCAGGAAGGCATAACTGTGGATCTGTTAATAGAGGAATGGATCCCTCTAGGACAGATGTCCTTGCCCCCCACCCCGTTATCCTCCTGTCACAATGTGTGTGTTGCAATAGCACAGACCTGCTTGGTGCTGCCGGCTGCACGATGCTGTGTCCTGCTGATGTCCGAGAACCAGCTGCTGCCAAGATGACAGCCTCCCCCGCCTCCTGTTCACCCCACTGCTGCTGCCACTGCTGCCTCTGTCCAAGGCACTGCCCGTGTCACCAGTTACAGTTGCTCTGAATGGTCAGAGCAATGGGCTGCCCTTGTATTTCCGCCCATGAAAAGTTACCTGGACCCTGGCCAGGGACTAATTTTTGAGCCCTCTAAATGGCGACTGCACCAGCTGCCCCCACCCCACGCTACGCCACTGCATGGCGCCACCTCAAGAAGAGAATTGCTGTGTTATATTGGGCACAGTCAATCTTATTGCTGAAAACAAACCTGTTTCTTTTGGCCAATCCTGTGAGCTCTAGCCTGTGCCTGCAAGTCATTCTGGGGATTCCAGTCCGAATCAAAGATGACTACAGTGTCAGCAGATGCCAAGTTTATCCCAAGCCCACCAGCACGTGTAGAGAGTAAGAAGCAAAAATCCTAAAAAAAAACACAACAGATAATAAACTGAATAGTTTATTTGTTTTGTAATAGTCAATAACTGCATTAAACATATAAAAACAACATATTAAAAAAAAAAACTAAAACCTATACGATAAACAAAGTAAATTCCAAGTCTCACCTCCGAACCTTCAGCATTAAAGTGATCCAGCGCTTGCTTACGAAGCTCTCCCTTAATTGAACCATCGAGTCTCTGTAATGGAACAAAAATCAGAGGATGCTGCAGGAGAAATCCAGTATGAACAGATCATATCCTCAATGCTCATGGATTAAAAATAACCTGACTGCCGTGTGCATTTTGTGAACATGCCCTGGAGAAAGACACCCTGTGACTGGAGAGATCACTTTACAAAGCACTGGGCAACTACATGATCGTCTTTTAACTATCTTGGTACCAAACATCAATAGTCAATCCTATAGCTCTGAAGCTTGCTACATATAATTGTCTTATTCACAGTAAAAGTTATTTCAAATTAGTGCAGCACTTCCACAAATGTTTACTACCCAATGTAACAGCTTATGTTGCTTTACAATAAATCTGTCATTTAAAGGAGAAGTATGGCCTAAAACCCGCTGTCAGCTGACATTACAGAGCTGCTCCAGGCTCTGGAAGGATCCTGGCAATAATGTTGGGATCCCCACCAGATGCCTGATCGGCAGCCATTGAGAGCCTCTGGAGCCAGCCGCTCCTACCCCCTCCCCAACCTGCCCCTCCAGTGAGCACTGGAGGAGCATAGCTGAGAACAGTGACCGACAGTCACCGCTCTCTGCTCAGAGTGGACCAAGAACTGAGCAATCAGCGGTCATGTGATCATTCAGTTCATGGGCTTAGAGCCAGCAGGAAACAATTAAACTTTTAATGGTTTTGTCTTAAAACCTCTGTGGTCCCCTATGAAACTGGTGTTCCTTTCCCACTATTGAGCTGGGAATTTCTGTTTGTTGTTTTTTTGACATGCATCGCCCTTCCATGGGCTGCTTGCTGCAAAGGCCAGTTATAGATTGGAGTGGTTGCCATTTGTTTATACTGTTGATGAGTTGGTGAGGGGATGCACTGGATACCTTCACTACCATTGTGCTATTGCTGGGTGTCTAATGGGTCAATACCTTTAAGGAGGTGTGGGCTTCCTCCAGGCATATGGAAGAAGGGTCAGCTGCACACCAGAGGATAGATGAATATAGGGTGTATTTATTGATCCATAAGACACACAAAACACCAGGACATGAATACAGGACCTGTTAACGCGTTTCAAACGATCTCGTGCTTAATCATAATTATGACAGGTCCTGTATTCATGTCCTGGTGTTTTTGTGTGTCCTATGGATCAATAAATACACACTATATTCATCTATCCTCCGGTGTGCGGCTGACCCTTCTTCCTATTGCATTGTGTGGTGGTGAGCCAGAGCCTGCACCTGTTGTGGATTGATCTGGATTGTTTGCCTGAGCGGTATACCTTTGTTCTTTGGATTCCTCCAGGCATACCTGCCCTTAATCTATCCATTACTATATATGTGTTCCAACTTTGGAGACTCTCAAAATGTATAGAGTTAGGGCTACAGTACACTGGGGTGCCGTTTAAAGTGGCGTCTGCAGTTTACACATATATTTACAAACGAGTACAAACTAAACCCCTTGTTTTCACATGAACTGTTAGGGTAATTCGGTTTGTTGCAGGCTGGCTGGTAAGTAAGCTGGGAATTTTTGTTTGTTTTTTTTTTGACATGCGCCGCCCTTCCATGTGCTCCTTGCTGCAAAGGCCAGTTATAGGTTGTGGTGGTTGCCAATTGTTTGTACTATTCTAGTACCACTATAGGTTAGATTTCAGGCTAAGCCATGCCCAACCACAATCGTCTTGTCTAATGACAGCTTCCTTACTGACGACTAAAGCACTTAACGTGAAATGCTGGAACTACGATGAGAAAGAAGGAAGTTCTGGGTCTCAAAACCACCTTGTCCTGGTGTTAGACCAAAAAGGCTAAGGCTGCCAGTTCAGGCATTTGCCTTGCAGAGGTGATAGCAACAAAGAACTCAACTTTGTGAGTGACAGTGGAAAGGGGTATATATCTAAAAGGTTCAAAAAGTGGTTTTTGAAGTGCCTAAAGAACCAGATTTAGGTCCATTGGAGGGGGAGAAGGCCACACACAGGGAGCCACATAACAGACACCTAGTACCAAATTTTAAATCAAAGAAATGGGAAGCTAGTGGTCTTTAGAACAAGATTTCAAGTGCAGATATCTGACCCTCAATGCTACTCAAGGCCAAATGCTGATCCAGGTCCATTTGCATAAAATATAGGACTTTTGAAAAGAGGGATGGAAGGTGGGCACAGCCAAGTCAATTAATCAGGGAAATCAAGCCTTTAGTAACAAGTAAAATCATCAACTTTAGGTAGCTAATTTTGACTTTTACTCATGGGTGAGACATGACTCCAGTTCTCTGGCTGTAGCAAATAGCCATCAGTAAATACACATCTTTATTTAGCAGCCACTCCATCTATGTGTTCTGGTATGTTGAACATTTCTGTACTGTAGTCTGGCCCCTTCGGTATCGGATGCCCAGTTCTCTTTTTTAATTACTGCCATGTAAATCTGGGACACAGAATGCCAAAGCATTTCAAAGGGATACTTATGTTAAGCAATAAAACAAATACAAACATTTATGTGGTCACCCTAAACCCTCCACAACCCAAGCTGCTGTATACATTTCTGAATGATATTTACAATTGAGTACTGTCCGTGATACTTTTTTTTATTTGCACTAACATACAATTTTGAGGACAAGCTTTTGGGGAATGTCTCCTTCTTCAGGTCTAAGCAGTACAAATGCACTAATACGGCCACAATCACCTCAAGCTGAATGGTATTTAAAAACCTTACATGAAACATAGAGCACTACCCAAAAATAAATATATAAAAAACTAATAATTCTTACCGTAACAAATACTCTATACAAATAAAAAGAAGCAAATTAAATCAGTGCATCAATAAAAATATATTTTAAAAAATCATGGCAAACGTGCTATGCATGACCAAATTAAAAATAAAAAAATTGATTAAAACTATTGTTTTTATATGTATAAACTATGTATTATGATATGGATTATAGGCTTTTTATAAATTTATTTTTTGGGTAGCCCTGTATGTTGTCCATATAAAAGCCAAAAAAAGGTGATTTAACTCCTTGGCGCCAAGCACACACAAATATGAAGCCTCTCAGCGACGAGGCCTTGGTGCCTTGGGCCCAATGTAAACAAAAACATTTACCGACACCTTATGGAAAGGTTGGGAGCTTTCCGATCATCTGTCTGCCATGACAGCCAATCACAAACCCCTTAAAAGTCCGGCACCAAGGGGTTAATAAACAGATAATCAGTAATACAAAGCAGATGTAGATGGTAAGAAAACAAGTAAGGTTTAAAATATTTCGTAGGTTAACAGATTCAAATGAGTGCGCCTAAGATGGCTGCCTCATCTTCTGAGTGCTTGGAGCCCCCAGGGATAAAAGCACTAAAGAAAGACAAATTTGTATAAATAATAATGAAATGAAGAAAAAAAATAATAATCAAGTATATTGTTTACTAAACCAGTCACAATCTGAACATTTCAGGATTGATTCACTCAAGGCAAATAGAATGTACACTGAATGCAAATAGAAAAACAAAAAGGGCGCACCGAGCTAGTGCATTATCGTTTAAAATATTTATTGGAAAAACAAGGTAAGTATTATACTCACAATGAACATAAAAAACACAGTCATATCACACCGGACAAAATATTATATCCAAGCAGCATCCGAGTCCATACGATGAAACTCTGGATGACCAACTGGCTAACGCGTTTCGAGGCCACAACCTCTTCCTCAGAGCCAACACTGTACTCAGATGCTGCTTGGATATAATATCTTGTCCGGTGTGATATGTCTGTGTTTTTATGTTCATTGTGAGTATAATACTTACCTTGTTTTTCCAATAAATATTTTAAATGATAATGTACTAAGTCGGTTCGCCCTTTTTGTTTTTCTATTTGCATTCAGTGAAGTTGGACCACCCCGGTCTGTTGAGGGCAGCAAGCGGTGCATGTTTCAGAACATCCTTACTGGTTCCACCGAGTCCATTCCCAGCGCAGGAGAAAAGTGTTTTGCTGTGTTAAATAGAATGTACACTCTGCAAGAGCAGTTGCTCCGGAGCTTAGTAATGGGAAATAAGCTCTGCTGTCTTCTATCATCCAATCAAGTCCAAGCAAAAATGCTGTTTTTTTTTGCATGTGATTGGGTATTTTTTGCAAAGCGAAGCTTTACCTTTATTAAGCTCTGGAGCGACTGAACCTGCAAAGTGCACAGTCTATTTGCATTTAGTAAATCAACCCCTTAGGTTCTTAGCATGCCAAAGGCACAATATTTGCAAAGGTACCTGAAACGGGTAGTGCTTTATGGCGAGGTACTCTGCCAAGATGTCCAACATGCGCACCATCTGAGAAAAGATGAGTACACGGTTTCCTCTCTCACGCAGCCGTGTCAACAGTTTGTCCATCAGAATAAGCTTTCCGCTGCTTCTGATCAAAGACTGAAGAAAAGAATGCTGGTTATTAATAAGATATAGATATATAGATATATATATATATATATATATATATATACATACACACACACACACACACACACATACACACATGCATACATACATACACACTGTACATAAACACACAGGCAAAGTCATAAAGCTACAACTGGACTCTTACAGCCTGTGTAGGGGGTAAAAAGCACACATGGGATGAAGCAATGCCATGCTGCATTAGTCTTATGTCCGACCTCATAGAGACGGGGTCTAAACCACAGATGTCTGGTGTCCCCCCCAATAAATGCTATGAAAAATAAACATTTCATGCAAGATGCATTCAAGACACAGAACATTAAAGCAGAACTAAAGTCCACAATACTTACCTCTCCTTCAATGGTCCGTGGTCCCTTGCCGGCATCTTCTACCGGCTTCTTTTGAATGCCAGGCTGCAGCCATCTTCATGGCTGGCATGGGATGGCATCACTCTTGCTCATGCAAATCTGTGCATGCGCATTACATTTTTTTAATCACTTTTATGGTTATCACAAGAAATGTAAACATCACTTGTGATAGCAATAGGCAGTGACAGGTGCTCTTCACAGAGAGATCTGGGGTCTATTAGACCCCAAATCTCTCCTCTGCCCCTGAAAGCTTTGGAAGCTTTGGATCAAACTCGTATCGCTTCGATCCAAAGCCATCCTTTGCTGGTATTGGATGGTAAACAACCAGACGAAACTGCAAAGTAACAAAATACTCATCTCTTCATGTTTCCTATAACATAGAGAATGTCCCCAAACAGCTCTATGGTAAGCCAGTGGAACAGTAGAGCCCGGAGAGGCACCCAGAGGGTATTTTTTCCCCAAATCTGGACAGACACAATGGGGCTGATTTACTAACACTGGAAAATTCTGGTACAGATATACAGTGGGGATCGAAAAAGATTGGGCACCCCAGCTAAAAATTTGTATTAATGTGCATAAAGAAGCCAAGGAAAGATGGAAAAATCTCCAAAAGGCATCAAATTACAGATTAGACATTCTTATAATATGTCAACAAAAGTTAGATTTTATTTCCATCATTTACACTTTCAGAATAACAGAAAACAAAAAAATGGCGCCTGCAAAAGTTTGGGCACCCTGCAGAATTTATAGCATGCACTGCCCCCTTTGCAAAGCTGAGACATGCCAGTGTCATGGATTGTTCTCAATCATCGTCTGGGAAGACCAGGTTATGTCAATCTCAAAGGTTTTAAATGCCCAGACTCATCTGACCTTGCCCCAACAATCAGCACCATGGGTTCTTCTAAGCAGTTGTCTAGAAAACTGAAACTGAAAATAGTTGACGCTCACAAAGCTGGAGAAGGCTATAAGAAGATAGCAAAGTGTTTTCAGATGTCAATATCCTCTGTTCGGAATGTAATTAAAAAATGGCAGTCATCAGGAACAGTGGAAGTTAAAGCAAGATCTGGAAGACCAAGAAAAATATCAGACAGAACAGCTCGCAGGATTGTGAGAAAAACAATTCAAAACCCACGTTTGACTGCACGATCCCTCCAGAAAGATCTGGCAGACACTGGAGTTGTGGTACACTATTCCACTATAAAGAGATACTTGTACAAATATGGTCTTCATGGAAGCGTCATCAGAAGAAAACCTCTTCTTCTACGTCCTCACCACAAAAATCATTATTATTATTATTACTACGAGTTTATATAGCGCCAAAGGGTTTGCTCAGCGCTGTACAATAGGGGGGACAATACATGGCACAGTACAACAACAACAAACAACGTACGAGGGGTAAGAGGGCCCTACTCTTACGAGCTTACAATCTAGGAGGGAGGGGGTAAAGGTACAGTAGGAAGTGGCTGAGGGGGATGAAGTGGTGGGAGGAATGAGGGAGGATGGCCGTTAGGTGAGGGTGGGGTAGGCTTCCCTGAAGAGATGTGTTTTGAGGGAGCGCCTGAATGTGAATAGGGAAGGCGACAGTCTGATGGATTGGGGCAGTGAGTTCCAGAGGATGGGGGAGGACCTGGAGAAGTCCTGCAGTCGTGCATGGGAGGAGGAGACCAGGGAGCAGGATAGAAGGAGGTCCTGTGAGGAGCGAAGGGTACGGGTAGGGTGGTACTTGGTGATCAGGTTGGTGAGGTAGTCAGGGGCAATGAACATATAGACAAGCCTGATGCATTTTGGAAACAAGTTCTGTGGACCGATGAGGTTAAAATTGAACTTTTTGGCCGGAATGAGCAAGAAGGGGCACAGAATTTAATGAAAAGAACCTCTGTCCAACTGCTAAGCATGGGGTTGGATCAATCATGCTTTGGGGTTGTGTTGCAGCCAGTGGCACAGGGAACATCTCACGAGTAGAAGGAAAAATGGATTCAATAAAATTTCAGCAAATTTTGGATGATAACTTGATGCCATCTGTGAAAAAGCTGAAGTTAAAGAGAGGATGGCTTCTACAAATGGATAATGATCCTAAACACACCTCGAAATCCACGGGGGATTACATCAAGAGGCGTAAACTGAAGGTTTTGCCATGGCCTTCACAATCTCCTGACCTCAACATAATTGAAAATCTATGGATAGACCTTAAAAGAGCAGTGCGTGACAGACAGCCCAGAAATCTCAAAGAACTGGAAGACTTTTGTAAGGAAGAATGGGCAAAGATACCTCAAACAAGAATTGAAAGACTCTTGGCTGGCTACAAAAAGCGTTTACAAGCTGTGATACTTGCCAAAGGGGGCAGTACAAGATATTAACTCTGCAGGGTGCCCAAACTTTTGCAGACGCCATTTTTTTGTTTTCGGTTATTTTGAAAGTGTAAATGATGGAAATAAAATCTAACTTTTGTTGACATATTATAAGAATGTCTAATCTGTAATTTGATGCCTTTTGGAGATTTTTCTTCTTTATGCACATTAATACAAATTTTTAGCTGGGGTGCCCAAACTTTCGATCCCCGCTGTACATGGTAGCCAATCAGCTTGTTCAGTTAAGCTTTGACAAAAAATCTGGAAGCCGATTGGTTTCTATACAGAGCTGCACCAGATTTTGCACTCTCTTGTTTTAGTAAATCAACCCCATAGATAGTCGGATGTACACAGACACAAGTGTGTTTACATCAGATTGTCCATAGGGATGCATGGAGCTTCCAATCAGGTCCACCTGAAAAACTGACACGTGGACCTGTTCGGAATGCCTGTGTGATAGGGGGCCTATAGAGAATACTAGATCTCCACCTGCTGGAAATGTAAATATGAAATATTTGAAGGCAATTTTTTGGATTTCGTTTGGAAAAAAAAAATTAACCTCCCTAGCGGTCTGATTATGTCAGTATTTCTGTGCTCAAAGTGGTACATTTTTCTGCATGGAAATATGTTGTTTTTTTATTGTAGGCCTGTAATTTTTAGGAATAACTCCCTGAAATCTGTCTAAACAAGAGTCTAGTAAACATCCCGGGTATGTTAAAATTTGAAACACGAAATCATAAACTATAATTTAATAAATAATCATAAAAAATAATAATATAATAATAATAAATTTAATTCAATAATATAATCAAACCAAAAACACTGAAATTTGAAATATAGCGCCAAGTTCGCACATCACTGAGCAAAGTCGCAAAATCGTTTTCAGTGTCTGATAACGAATTTTCCCCCACGAATCATTATCACTCAATTCTGCAAGTGGTTCTGATTTACTATCGCTGTTCTCTAGCCGGTCTAAAACCACTTTTGACCTAAAGGGACGCTTTTTGGACGCCATGGACGTTTCTCAGTTTCCAGGCAGAAAGAACAGTAAAAATGCAGGCAGGGCGCAGGACAAAGCACTCGGGACAAAATGTATGTGAAATGGTTTGATACAGGAATGTTTTATTATGTGATTTTAGTGTATTTAGTGAATGTCACTTTTTCACATTTTTTAATTTCCTGCCAGTTCCGTACCCCGTATGTCCCGACGTCGCAGGGAACGGAACCCGGAAGACAGATGCCGGCATCGGCCGGAGGACATTGCCAGGGACACTGCAGGAGGGACATCGCAGGAGCGAAGGACAAGGTAAGTGCAGAAGGGATCCCGGAGCAATGCTGCAGTGTATTCCCGAGTGTAGCTCAGGGTTACCGCTTGTGGTACTGAAACTTTACCCCGAGCTACACTCGGGAATACCGCCAGGGAGATTAAAATTAAAAAAAAAAAAAAAAAAAAAGATATCTGCACAAGGGGAGCATTGTTTTCCTTGGATTGGCTGATTTTAAAAAAATCACATTGTATAAAAGAACAGTAAAGTACAACCATCCAGTAGCACTGTAAAGCAAAATGCAAAGCCTATGCATGTAAGGAGCAAATATATGGCTGACAATTACCGCATGCAGAAAACAGATACATTCTCATTTTCCATTCACTGACCTGCAGTAAATCTTGTCTGCTTTCTTTGTCTGAATCATCCGGCTTAATGAGGAAGCAGTGATTGCAGCACTTCTTCAGTTCCATTACAATGTTCAGGAAACCAGATGTGCTGCCCCTTGTGCCTTTGGACAATGCCTTATAATTTCTGGTTAAAATCCACCTACAGCCAGGACATCAAAGGAAAGCCACTGTAAGGAGAATGCTCACGGTTGCATGCAAGCATTGGCAATACATTTATTTAACTACTTGCCAACCTGCCACAGTACATATACTGCGATGGGTCGGTCTCCTACAAGCAGAGCAACGTACTTGCCTGTTACCGAGTACAGGGCGCGCGCCCCCGCCCACCTACTTTGCTATGATTTGACACAGTGGGAGCTTGTCGGCAGATCCCGGCCAATGGTACATGGCTAGGACTTGCTGATCGGATGTGTCGAATTACAGCCCAGAGCCCTGTGTTGATGAACAACGCAGGGCTCTGAACAGAGGGAAGGATCGCTTTGTTTCTGTTCCCTGAAAAGCAGAGAACAGAAAGAAGTCATTGTGTAGTAAAAAGTAGTACATATTCAACACAGTAACACTTGTTAGGCACACGATTAACCCCTTGATTGTCTCTAGATGTTAACCCCTTCCCAGCCAGTGTCATTAGTACAGGGACAGTGTATATCAGTGGTCTGCAACCTGGGGCCCGGAGGCCAAATGTGGCCCTTTTCTTGCCTTTATCTGGCCCTTGGGCTACTATTTCATCCACTGACACCAGCAATAGTATATAAATCCTGTCACTGACACCAACAGTGGGATACTATTCCCCTCCACTGACACTACCATTAGGGCACAAATTATAGAGTCCCATTATTGGTGTCAAAGAAAGGGAATTGTGCCCCATTGTTGGTGTCATTGGGAGCAATGGCATCAACGAAGGGACACAATTCCTTCCTTTAACCCCAACAACAGGGCACTATTACTCCCAATGACACCAAAAATGGGGTGTTGTTTACTCCCACTGGCATGGACCCCCCCTAAAGTCAGAAGGGCAGTAAACTGGCCCTTTGTTTAGAAAGTCTGGAGACCCCTGGTATATATTATTAGCACTGATCCCTGTATTAGTGTTGCTGGAGATGTCAGTGCCATTTAGTCAGTTCCCACAAAGTGTTAATTAGTGTCAGATTGCCTACCGCACTATCACAGTCCCACTTTAAGTTGCTGATCTTCGCCAATACTATTATAAAAAATATTAAACAAAAATTTCAGTATATATACCATCTTACTGTTTTTTGTTTTTTTTTTAACCAAAGTTATGTAGCAGAATACATTTTGGCCTAAATTTATGACAAAATTTGATTTTTGTTTCTTTTTTTTATTGAGTATGTTCTATAGCAGAGAGCAAAACATTGTTTTTTTTTCCTCAAATTTCTTTTTTTTTTTCGTTTTATATAATAAAAAATAAAAATCCCAGTGGTGATCAAATACCACCAAAAGAAAGCTTGATTTGTGTGAAAAAACATTCTATACATTTCATTTGGGTACAGCATTGCATTACCACGCAATTGCCAGTTAAAGCAGCGTAGTGTTGAATAGCAAAAAATGGCCTGGTCATGAAGAGGGTAAAATCTTCCAGGGCTCAAGTGGTTAATATGACCACAAAGGTGTCATTAGTCTGTAGAGTGTCTCCTCCAGTAAGATGACACTAGACTTCCAATTAATAATTATAGCTGCCAGTACAACGTGGTTCTTTGCACTAGTGTTGGCAGACTCACTTGTAATACTGTTTCTGTAGTGCACACATCTCCACTCGAAGGATTTGCTCCACTTTAGCTGGAAGAGATTTCTCGACATCCTTCTTGACTCTGCGCAGTAGAAATGGTTCAAGGACTTTGTGAAGGCTCTGGTAACCATTATCTCTCCCTTTGCCGTGCTCGTCCTCAAAGTCCTCCCAATACTCAAACCTAAAATTAAGCACAGGCAGGTCATAGGGTTTCAAAACACATTCCAAACATACACAATTTAGTATACACCAAAAACAACTATCGCTACAAAAAATAAAATGCTTTAGATGTTTTCAAGCTTAGCCTATGAGCCAAATGTGAGACAAAGTGGAAAAGTAGCACTATAAGTTAAGGCGGAATTCCACCTGAAAAAAAAAAAAAAGTCAGCAGCTACAAAAACTGTAGCTGCTGACTTTTAAAATACAGCCAATTACCTGTCCCTCAGTCCAGCGGTGTCCTCACTACAGCTGGTTTCACCGGCAACTTTCTCTCCTTGATGCCGGCATCTTCAGTGTGGGCACCCGGCTGTGACAGTTTGCGGGCTTCACAGCTAGGTGCCCACTGTGCATGGGCGAGAAGCTCTGCGCTTTGTGAATGCTCCAGTAGTCTTCTGGGACCTGTCACATGTCCCAGAAGACTATGGGGGGGGGCTTCCCATCACCTAGGCAATCGTAGCGGAAGTGGGTACCTGTCAAATTCGGGTACCCCACTCCCCAAAGGTGCCAAACCTTAACGTTGAGCGGGGAACAAACGATTAAAGTGGAACTTACCCTTTTGGGTGGAGCATCGCTTTAAGTAGTCAAGACCTGGTATTTCAGTGTCCAAAACATGTTGGACAGCTAACTCTTGGGGACTCTAGTAGTAGGATGTGCTGAAAGTGGCTGTAAGTCTCTGAATTGAAATAATAACAAAGCATATCTCTCTATAGTGTATACTTGTCTCAATCCAGAGTACTGAGTGTCATTTCTATCTGCTGCCTCATTTCTCTGCTATCAGCATAAGACAATTCTGACAAGTTTTCCTGACACCATGAGATAAAAAGATGACAGGGGAGGGAGCTCCAGTTCACAGCCTGTGATTGACAGTTTCAGCTCTGTTCCTGTGGGACGGGGGTGTGCCCCTACCCCCCAATCAGCTCTCAGAAATCCCCTCTCTAAGCTCTGCAGAGTGTAACTTCAGCACCTCGCCCCCTGCTTTCTGAAAGCTCAGGCAACAAGTAAACAATTCTGGACTTTGAATGGATGCAGAGAAGACTGCAGATAGACAGGTACAACTTATGTAGGAGGATTTGTTTCATCTCTGTGTATCACCTGAGGCCAATCACTTCATTGCATATTTGTACAAGTTTACAATCACTTTAAGTTGCCAAGTCTGCACATTGGTGCGGCAGTTAAGAGGGCATCCTACTTCCACATTTGTATTTTTCATTTATTAAATAATACAGAAAATACAACAGGAGGAAGGGAAGATATGAAGGTGGGCAGAACACCCCAAACCCCAAGGCACAGTAGACCACAGCCATTCCTATGGAAAGGATATAATATTGCTAAATCCCCCAAGAGATATAAAAATGCCACTCAGGCAACCAAACTCCACTTATACTGTATCAAAAATATCACCTTTTGGTGGTCCAATATTTTAAACAAGTTAATAAAATTCTTTAAATCAGGTCACTGATGCTCAGCTTTCTGAAATCGGAAAGCTTTAGAACAGCAAGGTAGATACATATTGGGCACCTGCAAAGAAGCAACTGGGAAACTGAAAACAGATGATGAAAAGTCTCACTCTGTGATTAGCTTGTCCTTAATACTCTATTGTGTTGCCGATAAAGTAAATGCATACATATAGCGTCCACCAAGAAAAAAAAAAAAAAAAAAAAAAAACACTCCCTAAATGCGTTTCACCACAATAGGCTTGTTCACAAAATATAGAGTAGGTCCATCCTACTCTCTCCTTGTGAGCAAGCCTGTGGGGGAGAAAAGTGTTTAGTGAGTGTGGTTTTTCAGGTCGAGATAATACCTATGCAGTTACTTTCTCATCAACACAATAAAGTATCAAGAACAAGTTAATCACAGAGTATGACTCTTCATCTTCTTAAATTTTCAAGTTGGAGCAGAGACGGGCTACAGGAGATGGCTTCTGGATGGTCTTTGGAAATTAAAAGGTGTAGGGTTGGGGAGATGATGTGAATATGGGTATCTTCCAACTGGGAAACAGACAGCCAAGAACCACGCGTGTTTCCAAAGCCAAAAAATTGGTGTCAATTTGACTTCAGAATCAGCAAGTCATTTCTTACCTTTCTGGCATAATGAAGTGTAGCAGTGACCAGAGTTCCTTCAGTGAATTCTGGAGAGGAGTCCCAGTGATCAGCAGTCTGTGGTTGGACTTGAAGTCTATAAGGGTTTTGTAGAGCAAAGAATCATCATTCTTCAACCGATGAGCTTCATCAACTCCGAGAAAAGACCAATTAATACTGCTCAACACAGCCTGCAAAGGGGATAGGATAGTATGGCTCTATCAGATTTCTTCTCGATGTAACATGTGAAAAGCATACCCTAAACAAGACTTTTACACAAGGTACTTGATTCTGGGGCCTGTTTACCCCACCCTAAACTTAGCGTAATCAGTTTTAATCAGTGAAAAGAAGCTGGTCAAGGAACTTTCCTCAAAGTGGTATAACAGGGTTTTCTCAACCAGGGTTCCTCCAAAGGTTTCTAAGGGTTCCATAAGCAAAGAGCAATTTCTGCCTTTATAGAAGTTCCCGCAGACACCATTGATCTTTTTAGCTATCTGTAAGGGGGTAATTCTTCCCAATGACCACAAATGTAAGGAGCATTCTTTGCATTGACCATCACACTAATGTATTGTGAGCTGTAAATATAATTATTAGCAGGAGTTCCCTGAAGCCAAAAAGTTATTTCAAGGAATTTTCCATGTTAAAACGGTTGAGAAAGGCTGTGATATAACATTATTTAAAACATCTAGATATTCTATGCATGCACAGGACATCATTATCATCCTCTAACCCATGGGACATGGTCCAGTAATTAAGCTAGCTATGTCCAGCCTAAGGCAATTACATGCACAACTGAGTCACCTACCTTGTCCTTCAGTAAAATTTCATAGGTTGTCAGTAGCGCATTAAATTTCATTTTCTTGCTCTGCTGATGAACCCATTCATACTCTCGTATCTAAAAAGGAGAAGGTTCAACTGTAAGTGAGTGAACCTGTAAAGGCAGAATGAAGAGCCCTTTTCTGGGTAGATATAATTCTGCACATAACTCACCGTGTTTTCTGCTCCCAAGGTCTCCTATATAAACCACCACATTAATTTCAGGAGCCCACATCTCAAATTCTCGTTGCCAGGAAGTCAACGTAGATAATGGTACCACCAACAGAAATGGGCCATAAAGAAAATGCTGGTGGAAAAGGTATGAGAGGAAGGAAATGGTCTGAATAGTCTTTCCTAAGCCCATCTCATCAGCAAGGATAACACTGTTGGTCCTGTGAATGCAAAAAAACACAAAAGACAAGCTTTAAACACTAAGCCAGTGAACAGAAAAAAATGAAATCCATCCTTAAAAAAACAAAATTGAAATGAACCTTCTTTAACCACTTGCTGTTCGGGGCAATTTAGAGGAAGATAGTTCAAGGCTTATAAAATCAGGAAAAGGGAAGGCTCTTGAATTTCCAATATGTTCCTCCCTACACTGATTTTATAGAGAAGTTCTATCAGGTGAGGCATGGGTGTATTGGATCCATTGGGAAAGGTTGCACAGCATCTAAGACATTTAGGAGAATCCTTGTATTTTGTCCTTCTGTTCAATGAATACATGGCTTCCAACAGAAAATAGGAGGAAATTTCCCAAAATGAGGGGAATTTCACTGTCAGACCCCTCTTACCTCTTCTGGGGTCAACTCTAAAATGTTGGATTTTCTCTCATCTTTCTCTGTGACATTTTTCATCAGCAGAAATACAGGGGCAGGGACGGACTGACCATTTGGAAACTGGGGCACTGCCCGAGGGCCTGGGGTCAGTAGATGGGCCCCATGAGATGCTCCTGGTACCTTTTTCATAGGCTTTTTTGAGTTTGGGCAAGGACACAGGGGCCCCATGATCCCCTATTGCCCGGGGCCCCATGAGTTGTCAGTCCACACCTGTACAGGGGTGAATATCTCTAGCAGGGTCACAGAGAACACAAGAAATTGAGGAAGGGACTAACCCTTCCAAAACTAAAAAAAAAAAAAAAGATTGGTCTAGAAATAAACTTTAAAGCGGTTGTAAAGGCTGAATGGTTTTTTACCTTTATGCTTTCTATGCATGAAGGTAAAAAAACCTTCAGTATGCAGCTTAACCCCCCCCCCACCCACTTATACTCACCTAGACCCAATCCAGATCAAGCAATGTGCACCACGAGAGCAGAAGCTCTCCTGGGTCTCTGCCTCCTCATTGGCTGAGACACAGCAGTGGGAGCCAGTGAGGAGGGAGAGGGCGGCCGAGCCACTCTGGAGCAAGCACACACGAGTTCCCCCAGAGCAAGCAGCTTGCTATTGGGGCACTCAGCAGGGGGGAATGGCCAGGAGTACTGGCGGGGGACCCAAGAAGAGGAGGATACAGGTTGCTCTGTGCAAAACCATTACACAGAGCAGGTAAGTATGGCATGTTTGTTATTTAAAAAGAAAATAAACTCAACCTTTACAAACACTCAACAAGATTTATACATTTACATACTTGAGTGGGAACATTTAAAAGCAAGCAATACAAACTCACAAAACAAACAAGCAATACCTACTTGCACCACGAGTGAGCCAGCCAGTTTAAACCCTCCAGCTGATAGTCCCGGAGCTCGAGCCCTTCCCCTCCAATGTAAGAAGGCTGTTTCTTCAACGTCACAAACCTGGGTCTATGTCTCAGGACCTATTAAATGTACACAAGCCGTAATCACTACTACAGAAATCTTAAGATTTTACTATTGCACATTAACTGTACACCCTCTAGTGTACAGTTAGGTAAGTTTATTCTGACTCACAATAGTCATGTGAGTCTTGGCGATTGTTTTGGGTTCAGCTTAAAGCTCAGATTGTTCTACCAAATCAAGTTGGACATCCCAGATTTCTTTATCCCCGTCCTCACAATAAAACAGCAAAAACATGTCCATGGACTGGTCATTGACTGTGGATGCAAGTTGAAAATGCGTGTTGCCTGGCAGTGCAGGAATAGGGGGACCCAAAAATCTAGTTGTCCTCTAGGGCAGTGGTTCTCAACCTTGCTAATGCCGTGACCGTTTAATACAGTTCCTAATGTTGTGGTGACCCCCAACCATAAAATTATTTACCCAGTAATTATAATTCATGAAGTGTCGTTTTACCTCCAATACTGCTGCTTTCAACACAGTAGCTGCTTTTACACAGAGTAGCTGCTTTCAACACAGCAGCTGCTTTCTACACAGTAGCTGCTCTTTACACATCGAAAATATGTGTTTTCTGATGGTCTTAGGGGACCCCTGTGAAAGGGTCGTTCGACCCCAAAGGGGTCGCGACCCACAGGTTGAGAACCACTGCTCTAGGGGTAGCGATACATAACTAAAGGAACCATTCACTGGTACGCAAAAAACGTATACATCATTTTAAGTTTTTTCTTATATAGCATGCCACCCTGTAACTACAAAAGTCCTGTGCTTTGCTTAACAATAGTTTTATGTTCTAGTCATGTCATGACAGCAACAAAAAAAAAAATAAAGGGACTGAAATACAGAGGACATTTATCTATCAGATGGGCACTTGAAATACACAATCTTTATTTTTTATAAAAAATATGAAAAAAGTATACTATAATACCTTGCAGTCTTTCACTGGAGTGTTTTTGGAGTTATTGCGGGTGTTGAAGCTGTCAATGCAGTGCTGGAATTTCTTCCCAACGAGGGCTCCATCTTCCCAGCTGCACTCAGCATAGGGGAGACCCATCCACTTGCACAGGTACTCCGGTTCATTGGAGGTGGAGCTTCTCCGGCTGTGGACTGGGGAACATTTTAACAGGTAAATCATAAGATATTTTCCACATAACAAGTGAGGCATATATGTTATTGTATGTTTACCAAACTGTAATATTTTGAAAGTAGTACAACAGTGACTTGACACTAGGTGGAACTAATTAAAATATAGTGGGGAAAAAAAAAAATCACCAAGGGCAAGCACATCAATGTCTATAGGACACGCTCCTCAAAAGGTTGCTGTGTTCCTGACTAACTCGGACATGCAGATGTGTATAAAGTTTACCTGGAAAATCAGAATGTGCAGTGGCAGATTTACCAGTCTTCATAGCTGCAAAACAAAGAACAGAAAAGGATAATCAATACCTTCTATACATTTTTCCTGCAGAAAAAAATAAATGTATCGGTAGAACCAGGGGCGGACTGACCATTTGGAAACTCGGGCACTGCCCGTGGGCCCGGGGTCAGTAGGGGGCCCCATGAGATGCCCCTGGTACCTTTTTCATAGGCTTTTTTGAGTTTGGGCAAGGACACAGGGGCCCCATGATCCCCTATTGCCTGGGGGCCCCATGAGTTGTCAGTCCGCCCCTGGGTAGAACAGGGTTTCTTAACCAGGGTTCCATGCAGGTGAGGACTGACAACTCATGGGGCCCCCTGGGCAATAGGGGATCATGGGGCCCATGTCCTTGCCCACACTGAAACCACACCCAAAAAAGCCTATAAAAGGCACCAGGGACATCTCATGGGGCCCCCTACTGACCCCGGGACCTCGGGCAGTGCCTGAGTACCCGAATGGTCAGTCCGCCCCAGGTTCCATGGCACCCTAGGGTTCCTCCAGAGGTTGCTAGGGGTTCCTTGAGCAGTGACCAATTTCTAACTCTCAGATAAGTTCCCACTGACACCACTGATCTTTTTTAGCCATCTGTAAGGGAGAAATTCTTCCCAATGACCTCAAGTGTAAGGAGCATTCTTCCCACTGACCATCACGCTAAAGAATCATAATTGTTATAGATATAGTAATTTGTAGCTGGGGTTCCCTGAGACCGGAAAATTATTTCAAGGGTTCCTTTGTGTTGAAAAGGTTGAGAAAAGCTGTAGAGCAAATTCTAAGCTCAGAGGTAGTATATCAGAAGGTTTGGTTTTGGGGGTTAGCCATATCAGCTATGGCCTAGGAGGTCACAGCCATCAGGAGCCACCTGCCGACATCAAAATGTGTGAGTAAACCTGAGGATAGGATAAATGGTAATGTCACATCTACACTATGCCTTCATTAATGCATGCCACCCTACAATGGCCCTGCAGATGCAGCCTCATCATGGATCACATGAGAATTATTATACAAAACAGGATATAATATTCAGAAGACACGCGAGGCACAAAGAATGTCTTGTCACAGAAAACAGAAATTTACGAACACTATATTTTAAGTGTTTCAAAGGTTTCTTGTATGCCTTTTTATACAGCATGACCAAATGTACTTTGAAACAAACTTACTAGTCATATTATGGTAGAAAAAGCTGCTAAACATGAAGTATAAGAGCTCAACCTGGAGCTATCCAACATAGGCAAATGTACACACCAGAAGCATTAAAAACTGTCCAAAAACATCTGTCCCAGAGCAACCCAGATAAAGGGCAGAAACTGAAGATGCTTAGGAGGTATAATGAAGAATCCAGGGGATGGGGAATTGGCAATACGATTAAAAGCAGACAAGACTGGAAATTCAGATATCCATGAATAAGGAGGCCCAAGAAATTCTACAACAAAATCTCCTCAGCCAGGGGAAATTTCCGTCCAAGAAAAAGATATGATTTACTGGATTCAATGACCCACAATGCCAAAAGTAGGGAGGTGTACGAAGGATACAATTTTGGAACAAAGAGTGCAGACAATGTGGAAAGACTAGAAACAGAAAGGAGTGACTAAGTAGGGATATGGACTAATTTAGAAAAATAAACCAAAAAGGTTTGTAAAGCTATGAAGATGGCCTCTAAGTGCAACAGCCAGCCATTCTCAACCAGGGTTCTGTGGAATCCTGGGGTTGCCCTGGGGTTCTTCCAGAAATTGTTGGGGGTTTCTAAAATTGAGACTGCTTGACCTTCTGTTTGATGGTAACTGAACAGTTCCAGGGCCAACACAACTTGGCAGAGCCAGTTGCATTACACCAGTGATCTTTTCGGCTGTCTGAAGGGTAGCGTTTTGGCCACCATTGTAAGGAGCATTCTCTCCATCAATGTAAGGTGCAATTTTCCGACTGACCCACCAATGAATTGGATTTAGTAGGGGTTCCCTGAGACCTGAAAATTATTTTATGGGTTCTGGGTTAAATATGTTGAGAAAGGCCGAGTAAGACAAATGGTAAAAAGGAAGTAGCTACCTCTTCTAGTAAAAGAGAGCCTCGCCCCACAGAGCCAGTTAACCTGCCCTAAAGCTGGCATCTAGGACAAAGCCATAGCTGGTTTCTAGCTTGTAAGAAAAAGTCCACTTACATATGACCCTCTCAACAAACTGATACTGCTTATTCAGTTCTGATGCTAGTTCCTGCTGGCAGTTATAATACTCTACATCCTCAGGGGAAACTTTTGATAGCCTGGAAACAGAAAATAAATCAGATGAGTTTAAATAATACATTTTCTTTAAAGAACATGAATATAACCAATACAATTGTTACAACATAACTGAATATAGAAGCCATAACAGAACAAGAACATCATAATCACTACATAGTGGTAACAAAATTAGCAATGTACTATAGAAGTGATATTACTGGCAACTGTAGAATCATCACTAAAAAGTTAGTTACCAAAGAAATGTTCCAATAAATACAACACTTCTATTATACCAACATCATTGCGCCAATGTAATAAAGAGAGGAAATACACTCACTGGATGCTGCTATTATTAAAAAACTCAAAATAATAAAAATGTGAAAAATATACAAATCACAAATAATAGCGCAAACCAAATCACACAACTAAATATAACCACCACCAAATAAGTGCATATTAATAGTGCAAACAAAAAATCAAATAGGGAATCTCAATATAGTCCATTCAGAAAAGTCCATATAAACATGATCCTCAGTAAATGAAGTAATGAGATTCTCCTTCATAAGCAATGTGGTATTCAGTGCTCAAAAACACCCCATCAAAATGCACACTCACCATGTGCTACTAATTAACCAGCATGTCAGTATATATCCAGCATTCACCAAACAGACTTCAAAGGACGATCCTCATGTGTTGGTAATTACTCAGCATACCACTATGTATCCAGCATATCACCAAACAAACTCCAGAGAAGATCCTCTCATATCCAGATTAGCACATGTGGGTAAAGAAAATACTCGCCATAGTGCAGTATCATCCAACAAATTTATTGCCAAACAAACCCCCCTTAAAATCACACTCACAATGAGCAAATAAAAACAAGGCGTTTTGTTATATCAGAGCTCCAGTCTCTGCATCCTGTGTCTCACCAGCCAGCCCGCATTTAAGATGGAATCCCTGATTCCCTCAGAAGAAGTCATTGGACGAAACGCGTCAGGGTGTGGCCTTCCTGTGACATCACTACTCATGCTGATGCACGTGTCCGGATCACGTGATCGCACTATTACCATCTTGAATGCGGGCTGGCTGGTGAGACACAGGATGCAGAGACTGGAGCTCTGACATAACAAAACACCTTGTTTTTATTTGCTCATTGTGAGTGTGATTTTAAGGGGGTTTGTTTGGCAATAAATTTGTTGGATGATACTGCACTATGGCGAGTATTTTCTTTACCCACATGTGCTAATCTGGATATGAGAGGATCTTCTCTGGAGCTTGTTTGGTGATATGCTGGATACACAGTAGTATGCTGAGTAATTACAACCACATGAGGATCGTCCCTTGAAGTCTGTTTGGTGAATGCTGGATATATACTGACATGCTGGTTAATTACTAGCACATGGTGAGTGTGCATTTTGATGGGGTGTTTTTGAGCACTGAATACCACAATGCTTATGAAGGAGGATCTCATTACTTCCTTTACTGAGGATCATGTTTATATGGACTTTTCTGAATGGACTATATTGAGATTCCCTATTTGATTTTTTGTTTGCACTATTAATATGCACTTATTTGGTGGTGGTTATATTTAGTTGTGTGATTTGGTTTGCGCTATTATTTGTGATTTGTATATTTTTCACATTTTTATTAACTGTAGAATCATACTGGAGCTTTACCATTGCTTGATTTCATCATCTCTCTTCTTAAAGTTCTCCAGCTTCTTCAGGCCTTTCACCTTCTGCTGCTGGAGGGACTCTTCACTCTCCCAAGTGCTGTGAATGTGTGACCAGCCTTTCCATTTGATAAGGTACTGTTGCTCCCGTTCATCTGTTTCTGGGTTAAAGTCAGCACATGGATCCCCATTGGCTTCTGTGGTATATACAGTTGTTGATGCTCCAGTTGCTGAAATAATATAAATGTAAAAGTTATATATATATTCTTGGTAAAAGAAGTATTGCAAACACACCACATATTTTCTCATAATCATGTCATTACACAAACTGCATGATTGTGTGTCCATCACTCCAAGCATGCTCCTTGAACAAACACAAGTGACTGACATCAGTGCTGTAAATGACAATCCAAGCAGAACTTTATTCTACAGTTTTTCTATAAATCTCTGCTGAAACCAGAAATATTCCATTAGGATCCAGTACTAACTTTCCCTCTTCGCCTTTAACAGGGAGAAGAATCATGAGGGTCTGATGGTACAGTTTCAAGCAATCAGATTTTGGCCCATAATGCAATTGTTAGGGACAGCATATAGGAACTCGTCGCTAAGTACTTGGGGCATGCTACTGACTGAACCATTTGGCAAAGATGGAACAGCCAGAACTTAGGCTGCTTCTCAGGATTAACCTAAAGCAGACTATCACTCTATTTTTCTAGTTTGTATAATACTGCTCTCTCCTGCCTCATTTCACACAATTGCAAACTTATATTTAATGAAGAAGCTGCCACTTCCACCTTTCTCGCCAAGGTAAGAAAGGCAAAGCCTCAGCTGCCCACAGCCTCCTGAGATACCCAAATCACACATCCCAGGAGGCTTCAGGGCAATCTAGAACAGAACAGATGTGCATTTTCAGGGCATGCCCTCAGGGGACCAGCTGCAAGAACCAAGAAGAGACACCACCCCCTGAAGACATACAAGAGATAGATGGAAGCTTGGGATGGAAACCTGTAGGAGGAGAGTGGTGAGGAGGGAAAAAGACAACTCTGGATCCCCTAAGCTAGTAAGTATATTTATGCAGCATAGGAAAAAGACAATATGTAAGTGGTACATTATTTGTAATTGTGCGGGGGAGGGTGCAGTTCATCTTTAACTTAATGGGAAGTAAGTGCACTTGCACCTGTCCACTCCCAAAGAACAGCAGTACAAGTGACTAGGACATATTGTCAGCCTCTTCAATCAGAGTCTCCCCATAGCCAAGAAAATGGGCATCTGTGCTTTATCAGTGAAAAAGCGATGTCAGGTAAGAGGAAGAGCTAAACACCTACACCATCGGTGTCAAACTCCATTTTCATCACTGACCACATCAGCATTATAGTTGCCCTCAAAGAGCCAGTTGCATCTGTGAAACTATTTATGCAGAGTTCAGGAATGTGTTGTTTGCGTGCAGAGTTCAGGAGTGTTACGTACAGTGTGAAGAGTTCAGGAGTGTGTTACAGTTGCAAGAAAAAGTATGTGAACCCCTTGGGATTACGTGGAGTTTTGCATGAATTGGGCATAAAATGTGCTCTGAATGTCATCTAAGTCACAACAATAGAAGAACACAGTCTGCTGAAGATAATACTACACAAACATTAGATGTTGCCATGGTTTAATTGCACATAACATGTAAACATTCACAGTGCAGGGAGGAAAAAGTATGTGAACCTATGGACTTAATAACTGGTTGACCCTCCTTTGACAGCAATAACCTCAACCAAACGTTTCCTGTAGTTGCAGATCAGACCTGCACAACGATCTGGAGTCATTTTGGACCACTCCTCTTCACAAAACTGTTTCAGTGTAGCAATATTCTTGGGATGTCTGGTGTGAATCGCTCTCTTAAAGTCATGCCACAGCATTTCATTTGGGTTGAGGTCAGGACTCTGACTGGGCCACTCCAGAAGGCGTATTCTGTGCTGTTGCAGCCACTGCTTTGTTGAATTTACTTGTATGCTTTGGGTCATTGTCCTGTTGCATCACCCATCCTCTGCGGAGCTTCAGTTGGCGGACAAATGGTCGTACGTTTTCCTGCAAAATGTCTTGATAAACTCTGGAATTCATTTTCCCATCAATGACAACAATCCGTCCAGGCCCTGAGGCAGCAAAGCAGCCCCAAACCATGATGCTCCCTCCGCCATGTTTTACAGTGGGGATGAGGTTTTGATGTTGGTGTGCTGTGCCTTTTTTTCTCCACACTTTGTGTTGTGTGTTCTTCCCAAACAACTCAATCTTGGTTTCATCTGTCCACAGTATATTTTGCCAGTAGTGCTGTGGAACATCCAGGTGCTCTTTTGCAAACTTCAAACGTGCTGCAATATTCTTTTTGGACAGCAATGGCTTCCTCCGTGGTGTCCTCCCATGTACTCCATTCTTGTTTAATGTTTTCCTTATTGTAGATGTGTCAACAAAAATGTTAGCATGTGCCAGAGATTTCTGTAGGTCTTTAGCTGACACTCTGGGATTCTTCTTTACCTCATGCAGCATTCTGCGCTGTGCTCTTGCAGTCATTTTTACAGGACGACCACGATTAGGGGGAGAGTAGCAACAGTGCCAAACTTTCTCCATTTGTAGACAGTCTGTCTTACCGTGGACACATGAACATCAAGGCTTTTGGAGATACTTTTGTAACCCTTTCCAGCTTCATGCAAGTCAACAATTCTTGATCGTAGGTCTTCTGAGAGCTCTTTTCTGCGAGGCATGGTTCTCATCAGACAGTGCTTCTTGAAACCAGTAAACCCAAAACAAGTGTGTGTTTTTTAAGGGCAGGACAGCTGTCAGCAACACATCCAATATCATCACACTGATTTGAGTCAAGGTTGGCTCACTCCTGGCTCCAATTAGCTCTGGGAGAAGTCATTAAGCTAGGGCCTCACATACTTTTTCCTCCCTGCACTGTGAATGTTTACATGTTATGTGCAATTAAACCATGGCAACATCTAATGTTTGTGTAGTATTATGTTCAGCAGAATGTGTTCTTCTATTGTTGTGACTTAGATGACGTTCAGAGCACATTTTATGCCCAATTCATGCAAAACTCCACGTAATCCCAAGGGGTTCACATACTTTTTCTTGCAACTGTATGTGCAGTGTGCAGAGTTCAGGAGTGTGTTACGTGCAGTGTGCAGAGTTCAGAGAGTGTGTTACGAGCAGTGTGCAGAGTTCAGAAGTGTGTTATGTGCAGTGTGCAGAGTTCAGGAGTGTGCTGCATACAGTGTGCAGAGTTCAGGAATGTGTTATGTGCAGTGTGCAGAGTTCAGGAATGTGTTATGTGCAGTGTGCAGAGTTCAGGAGTGTGCTGCATACAGTGTGCAGCGTTCAGGAGTGTGTTATGTGCAGTGTGCAGCGTTCAGGAGTGTGTTACATGCAGTGTGCAGAGTTCAGGAGTGTGTTATGTGCAGTGTGCAGAGTTCAGGAGTGTGTTACACACAGTAAGCAGAGTTCAGGAGTGTGTTGCATACAGTGTGCAAAGTTCAGTGTGTTGAAGTCAGAAGTGTGTTATACAGTGTGCAGAGTTCAGACGCGTGTTGCATACAGTGTGCAGACTTCAGGAGTGTGTTACGCACAGTGTGCAGAGTTCAGAAGTGTGTTGCATACAGTGTGCAGAGTTCAGAAGTGTGTTGCATACAGTGTGCAGAGTTCAGACGTGTGTTGCATACAGAGTGCAGAGTACAGAACGTGTGTGCTACATACAGTGTGCAGAGTTCAGGAGTGTGCTACATACAGAGTGCACAGTTCAGGAGTGTGCTACATACAGAGTGCACAGTTCAGGAGTGTGCTACATACAGAGTGCACAGTTCAGGAGTGTGCTACATACAGAGTGCAGAGTACAGAAGTGTGCTACATACAGAGTGCACAGTTCAGGAGTGTGCTACATACAGAGTGCACAGTTCAGGAGTGTGCTACATACAGAGTGCACAGTTCATGGGTGCACTGTGTTCAGAGAGCAGGGTTGAGAAGTGCACTATATACAAAGTCCAGGGTTTTGAGGTGCAGGGTTAAGCTCTCTTTCACAGGCTGTCCACATCTCACTTCCATCCCCCTCCCCCTTGGCTCTAACCTCTGCAAAACTCTCCCCTATCCCCCACCTCTGCAGACATCTCCCTCCAAAGCCCTCTGTCTCCCCCCCCCCCAGCCACCACCAGCTCTGCCTCTCTTTCTCACTTGCAGGGAGATCATTGGCTGGCATCTGTCCCCTCCGTGCCCCGCTGTGAGTTTGTGCAGGGCAGGAGGGAATCAGTGAGAGCAGCCAGCCACCAGAGAGGAAAGCTGTCTTTGTAAACAAAGAGAGCTTCTGTGTTTACAAGTGACAGCGGTGAGTGGGTAGTGGAAGGCGAGAGCTAGAGGTGGAGAAACTCCATTCAGCCACGTTTCAGTTGGAGAAAAGCCTGGGTACAAGGGCCACATGAAATGGCCTAAGGGGCCATGCCTATTAGTGATTGCTCTACCAGCTCCTTCCCTAGTTCCACACCCAGGCAGGAGGAGAGACTAGAAGAAGGTCTCGGTAGTGATATGGCAACAAAACATTAAATAAACTCGGGTATTCAAAGTATTTATTAAAAAATGAATGTGAAGTGCAATCTACGCAGGAGAGGTTGAGTTTTAACTCATAAAATTTGTGTATTTAATGTCATCTTTTAAATCTGCAAACATCATACAACGTGAATGGTACTCACCTCCTTTCTTTCCAATTCTGGAGTCCAATACTTTCTCTATATTTTCATGGCTATCTTCTTGTTCTTCTACCTCCTCTCCTGCCATTTCTATCAGATCATCAGAATCGGTTTCAAAATCATCGTCCTCTTTGTAGCTGCAACAAAATAATAATATTAATTGAAATATAAAAGGCAGCTCAAAAAGTGATACAATTTATTACCATGCTGCAATTAATATTGAGAATAGATAAAACTGGGCAGCACAGTGGCTAAAGGGTTAGCACTTCCGCCTTGCAGTACTAGGGTCGTTGGTTCGAATCCCAACCATGGCACCACCTGCCTGGAGTTTGCATGTTCTCCCTGTGCCTGCTGGGTTTCCTCCGGGTACTCCGGTTTCCTCCCACACTCCAAAGACATGCTGGTAGGGTAATTGGATCCTGTCTAAATTGGCCCTAATATGTGTATATATGAATGTAATTAGGGACCTTAGATTGTACACCCCTTGAGGGTTAGGGACTGATGTGAATGTACAATATATATATGTAAAGCACTGCGTAAATTGACGGCGCTATATAAGTAACTGAAATAAATAGATTAAATACACTATACAGTTCACTTTCACACCTATATAAGCTTTTTGGACATGTCAGTCTAAAGCCATAGACATTAATATAGAGATGCCCCCCCTCTTTGCAGCTCTAACAGCCTCCGCTGATCTGGGAAGGCTTTCATCTAGATTTTGGCTTCAGCATGTGTGAGGTCAAGTACTGGTTAGGGACAAAAAGGTTCTGCATTTTATTTCCTCCTAAAGGTGTTCCGTAAGATTAAGGTCAAGGCTCTATGTAGACCACTTGAGTTCCTCCACACCAAACTTGGCAAACCATTTCATTAAAGACATTTTAGTCCTTCCTACCTGCCTCTTGTGGTTTTCACATGCCTCAGATGCCTATTGATCACGTATTTTCATGGTGTCATTTGTTTTTATATCCAAAGAGATGTTTATTGAGAACAACAAACATAATACATCGTAATAGTCAAATCACTTTTTCGTACAAAGCAAATAGTAGGCGGATCAACAGAGATCCAAGCTAACAATACAATAAATCCTTCTGTTTGAATAGTGTAAATAATAGAAATTACAGAGATTTGTACAACCCGCATATGATATCATCGCAAAACTGATATATCATGAATTCAAGTGGCAAAATCAAGTCATGAGGCACCGCAGAGAACCAATGATGTCTATGAATGATCACTAAAAAGTTAGTTACCAAAGAAATGTTCCAATAAATACAACACTTCTATTATACCAACATCATTGCGCCAATGTAATAAAGAGAGGAAATACACTCACTGGATGCTGCTATTATTAAAAAACTCAAAATAATAATAAAAATTAGAAAAATATACAAATCACAAATAATAGCGCATGTTAGTATATATCCAGCATGTTAGTATATATCCAGCATTCACCAGACTTCAAAGGATGATCCTCATGTGTTGGTAATTACTCAGCATACCACTATGTATCCAGCATATCACCAAACAAACTCCAGAGAAGATCCTCTCATATCCAGATTAGCACATGTGGGTAAAGAAAATACTCGCCATAGTGTAGTATCATCCAACAAATTTATTGCCAAACAAACCCCCCTTAAAATCACACTCACAATGAGCAAATAAAAACAAGGCATTTTGTTATATCAGAGCTCCAGTCTCTGCATCCTGTGTCTCACCAGCCAGCCCGCATTCAAGATGGTAATAGACTTCTCCCTCGGAAAAAGTCATTGGACGAAACGCGTCAGCTGTGGCCTTCCTGTGACATCACCACTCATGCTGATGCACGTGTCCGGATCATGTGATCGCGCTATTACCATCTTGAATGCGGGCTGGCTGGTGAGACACAGGATGCAGAGACTGGAGCTCTGATATAACAAAACGGTTATGGCAGAGACCGTCCACAGAGACCGTCACAATCAGAAGTAAGAAAACTCAAATAGTAGTAAAAAAAAAAAAAACTATACAAATAAGTTGCTCAGCATGACAACCTAGTAAATAAGCAACATACAGTAATAACAGAACACCACAGAAAATAGAGTAAGATAAAAGAAGAGAAAAGAAAAAAAAAAAAAGGGGGGGGGAGAATTCAGAAAAGCCAAACAGGTAGGGGGACATAGCAAGGAGCAACTGGTCATCTAATACTGCCACGTGTGGGTACAAAGTGACAATTAGGTAATATCATACTGAACCTGTGACGGGAGTCACTTTGGGTGGGGGCCCATGGAACACAGCCCCCTTTGGAGGGGTGGGGAGACCCCTGTCTCAGCTCCTCATATCCCTCTTATGTGTAAGTCACCCTGTGTCTCTTGGGGGCACAGGGTGACTAATGGACGCTGAGAATGTGGTTGGAATTACTTCAGATATGACAGTAATATTTATCAGCTAAATGAAGACTATTCCTGGTTGTTGATTCTGAACTAGACATGTGAATTGAAGGAGCCAGACCATCTGCTCTTTAATGAGATCCTAATTCATCCAACCATTGTCTAGGTGTGAATTCCCATTCACCTTTTGTTTTGATCCCCCAGCTAGCTAACCTAATTGACTTACTCTTCAGTGTGTTAAGTCTATTTCTGTATAAACAGTGAGGAACAGAAGTATTTGAACACCCTGAGCAGCAGCATTTATTTGTATATTCAGTATTAATTTGTACAAATGTTGGCGCTGGTGATTTGGTCGATAAATTAAAAAAAACTGTTGATCCTGCCAGAAATCGAGTGTTGTACCTTTTTAAAAAGTTTTACCCACCCAACCACAGCATCCAAGGTTTTGATGCCTGTGGTGTAGGAAGGACCAGACGATCATGTGACCACTGTGATTGGCTGGCACAGTGGTTACAAGATCGGCAGCTGGTCCTGCCAGCTCCAAACGATTACTAGAAACAAGGAGCTGTCTTTGAAAGCTCAGTCAATGTGCTGGGAGTGCTTCCATCACAGAAACCTTGGCTGCCCATGGTTGCACCCTCCTTGCTGCCACAAATCTGTGGGCAGTAAGAGGTTAAATATGAACCTAAACTCTATATTTTAATATCCCAGTATTATTCTTTCCACTGTTGGACTATTAGAAATTTGTGTCTGTACAATGTGAATTTCAGACCCCTCCATGATTTCTAAGTGGGAGAACTTGCAAAATCGCAGGGTGTTCAAATACTTCTGTTCCTCACTGTAGCTGTGTTTGCATATGATCATGTGATTGCATCCCATTGTTCTATTGTATGTCTTGCTCGGGAGCAAACTATTGTGGGATGTGTATGTTTGTGTGTATTGGCTTGGTGATGTCAGGGCTGGAGCGGTGTAATGGTCAGGCAGGCCTTATGGTAAGGTCACGCACGGACTGGCGACAGCCTCTGGTGACCCACAGACCGGAGTCCCTCAGGGCGCGAGTCTAAGCCCCAGGCTGCCCTTCACCAGGGCCGCCGATGGTGGGGATGGACTTGACGCAGCCTGAGACCAGGTTGCGACCCCCGAGTAACCCCAGCTGCGGTACGGCTGCCGCCAATGGCATATAACGGGTAGGGGCCAGATGGAAAGACGTATAGCGTGGTCGGACAGGCCGGGTCGATAACAGCAGAACAGACATTACAAGACGGTAGGCAAGAATACTCAGGTCATGGGCCAGGTTCAGCAATGGGAGGTCAGGTAATGGAATAAAGCAGAGAATGGTCAGAACGGGCCAAGGGTCAGAGCAAGAGGAGTTTTTGTCAAAGCCGAGTCGGTTTCCAGGAGAGCAACGAGAGCTGGACAAGAGCTTGCTGCAATGCAACATACAGGACACGAATGCACAGACCGGCTGCAACTGACAGACTTAAATGTGATAAGCCACTCCCTCCTGGGAGGAGCTGCAGAGGACTGAGAGCATAAAGGATCCCACAATGCTTAGCAGACACCCAAGATGGATGCCAGCGCATGGAGCAGCACAAACCCTCAGGAAAGGTAGGACCTTGACAGGTGAGGAGCGTTTCCGGCAGCCCTTCCCCCTGATGGGACTGTCAGAGGATTTGTTTCTTGTTACTGGGTGTGTATTGCCCCACACTGTGTGTATGTCTTGTATCTATGTTAAAATAAAGCAGTCTATTTCCTAGTTTCATTCAAGAGTGGTGTCCATGGATCTGTGTTCGGACAGGGAAGCGGGATTTTAACGGAAAACCCAAGTGCAGTCAGGGTCCGGTCCCGTTACACACCTCTTCAAAATAGCCGAACAATCTACAAATAACTAAAATATGGACCACTGTGTCCATGTCTCATGAAATCTGGGGGTAAGATCATGTACCATAGCAATAGACCGTTCCATCTCATAGATTTTATCTACCTTTAAAATCCAGTCTCTGATCAAAGGCAAAGAGCAGGATTTCCAATGTAGAGGTATCAATGCTTTCGCAGCATTCAGCATGTGTTTCACCAGGGAGTATTTATACTTTTTCAAAGGACAGCGGTTATGTCAGGAATGGACTGGCCAGCAATGGTGGGACTCACCTGCCTTTTGATCTGCAGTACCAGGGCTGGCCAGCGGATGCTCCCAGCAATCAGAGACTCAACTTTGCAGCCAGCTAACACCTGGAACTGATTATGCTGGGGTATTTAAGGGATGGCCAGACCCACAGACTCTGCCTTGGTGTTGTGTTTGTCCTGGGCCCTGTATCCTGTTTCTGTCCTGCATCCTGTTTCTGAACGCGCTGCTGACTTCTCCTGCTCTGATCCCGGCTCGCTCCTGACCATCCCTCTGCCTGACCCTCTGTACCACGCTGCTTGCTACCTGTTCTGATCCCTGGCTTGTGACCCTGACCATCCCTCTGCCTGACCCTCTGTACTACGCTGCTTGCTACCTGCTGAACCTGGCCTGTGACCCCGACCAATCTCCGCTTGCTCCCCCTGTACCTACCTGCCCTATTGATATTGACCCGGCCTGCCTGACGACGCTTGCTTGTATGTACTGTTATCTGTGGGTGGTTGGTTGGTTTGGTTTGGTTGCACTGTATTATGTTTTAGTATTGCACTGCGTTTATGTTTGTATGGTTAGTGTTAATAAATTATATTGTTTATAACATATCTGAGGTCTGCGTTTCCCTGCGTCAGCCACACACCTCTGGTCACACCTGGGAGCCCTGACAGGTTAAATGGTATCATTTGTTGCCTTGTATGCACAGGCTACAGTAGAGTAAGGGAACTTGCACAGGGTACTAATGCATGAACATCAGATTCCTGGCAGAAAGTTTCTGCGTAAAAACGCGAGGATGGGCTGCATAGTGAATGTGGGAGGATGCGATTGTACACGAGAGTAAAACTACTTGCTTTTCTTGGGGTGTGTCCAACAACGCATTTTTTTTTTAAACTGATCTATGCACAGAACAAATTTATTTGCCTGTGTGCACAGGCCCATTAAAATCAATGCATACATTCCTCTTTCTTTCATGGGAAAAAAACAATCTATAAAATTTAATTCTATGACTTTCCACATTACAAGAACCAAATTACATCTGGTGACAGCAGTCCATAGCTACACTTTGGACAAGCAATTAGGAGATCTCACCTAACATTTTTAGCTGCTCTGCGTCTCGTCTGCCTTTTAGGCGTTTCATCATCGTCATCATCATCGTCATCGTCGTCCTCTGATGATTCTGTCCTTCTCCTCTTACCACGCTGTGGTTTTTTCTGACTCCTTCCACAAGCCCTGTATGAACCTCTGAAAACACAGAACGATGTGTCTACCTTTTGCAAAATTGATGGGAGACCTCTAAGGAAAACACTAGACTAGACATGTGCTGAACAATTTTTTTTTTCCTCAATTTTTTTATTTAAATAATCACATTTAGTTAAATTTGTGTAATCAATTTTCAGAATTCATTTAGTTTAATTTCATTTATTCATTTACAAATTCGACCAAATCAAAAAGTATCGAATCAGCATTCTAATTTATTCCATTCGAAACTCAAATTGCGGAAGACAGGTATATTCTATTCTATTGTCTTTTCTATTCTATTGTTTTCTCATCTGTTCTATTCAAATTCAAAGTTATTCTATTCAAAATTCGAATTTTGGAAGATGTTTCTGTAGGTTCTACTTTATTGGGTTTTTTTTTAAAGGTATTTATTTTAAGTTGTTTTTGTCAACAGTTATAATAAACAAAGAAGAAAATAGGAGCCCCAAAATGAGAACATCAGAGTAAAGGTTACATTCAAAGGGCAAAACAATTTGCTAAACAATTTATCAGGGGCTACGTTGAGCCCACCTGAGAAAACGGTTTCAGTTGCAAATAGATATATTGTTTTTTCTATTCTATTCTAATTTATTCAAATTCAAATTTATTCTATTCGAAATCAGAATTTCAGAAGATGGTAATATTTTATTCACTATAGACATCAGGAGAGATAAAGAGCCCATAGCCACCACAACAGTGGTGCAAAAAAAAAAAAAACATCTGAAGTTGTAGAAAAGCAAAGATGGAGTTAGGATTTAAGAAATTTCCAGCAAACAGAGATAGTTTTCAAGACTTTAAAAAAATACAAAACTGAACTCCCTCCCAAAAAAAAAAAAAAAATCCTTGCTGACATCTACCTTTTTGATGCAGCCCTCCGTGGTCTTGTTTTAGGTTTCTCCATTTCACAGTCTCCACTGCTAATTTCTTCATCATCGTCATCATCCTCAGAATCTTTTTTCATCTCTCTGTCACAGTAAAGGGTTAATAAACAAAGCGATCTCAGCACCATATTTTTAAGGCATGATAAGGAAGCAAAGATCTGCACTACCAGTAACCACAAAATGTACTCACTTCTTGCGGGCGGTTCTAAGACTTCTCCGCTTTGGGCTTTCACTTTCAGAATCTGTGCTCTGGAAAAAAAAAAAAAAAAAAAGGAAATATTGAACACATTTTATAGACACAATGCACATTCACACTATTTAAACTATATAGTATTTAAATTACATATAAAATCCTTTAACCCTTTTACTGCAACTGATGTATGGTATACATGGGCTGCAGCTAATGGGTTTACACACATTACAAAGTGTAAATCTGACAAGCCCAACTGTTGGGTACAAGTAATCTGGTGGAGGTACAGCTGCCTGATCATTTCCACATATCCCAGTACATTCACACCACCCCATAGATCTGTGATCCCTTAGCTTTAATGGAATGCAGGTAAAACATTAGGGGTCAAAAGGAACCACTGACTTCTCATTAAACGGTTTGTCCCCTACTTGAAAACAATATTAGTGGAAAAAAATAGTTACACACCCAAGTGCTTAAACCCACACGTTCCCCTCCCGAAAACATTTTCAGCACATGCAGCGCTAGACATGTGCGTATTAAACTATTTGTTTACTTTTGATTCGTTATTTAAATTATTTTGTTTAGTTACAATTGTTTAATTCATTTCATGTATTCAAATTTGCCAAATTCAGTCGAATTGATTTCAATTTGATCGACTTCAGAAAATTCAAAAATCGGCATTCAAATTTATTCTATTCTAAATTCAAAACTTCAGAAGACGGTTCTATTTTATTGTTTTTTTCTTTTCTATTCTTTTTATTTTCTATCCTTTTCTAACCTTTTATCTCAAAATTCTAATTTTCGAAAGACAACATAATCTATTTTATGTTTTTTTATCTTTTATTCTATTCTAATCTTTTATATTCTATTTTATTCTAGTCTGTTCTTTTCAAAAATTCAAATTTTGGAGGAAGGCTATATTCTAACACGAATGCACACAGCCTTTGAAAGAGATTGGTAATATTCAAAATTTGTTTTTTCAGATTCAAATCCGAATTTAGACGCAATTTTGTTTCGGATTCGTTACTATTGTAATTCGGAAATTCTGATACATCCGAATCTCCGGACAAAAAAAATTCATCTGAATTTCAATTTGGAATGAAAACACACATCTAAGCAGCACATCTACATATGAACATGTCAATTGCACTAGACACAAGAGCAATCATTTCAGGGCTACTATTCACAGTTAATTCTAATCTGATGACTTCTAGGGGCTTTACAGCAACACCTATGGAGAATTTAGGGTACCAAAGTTAGTCCTTGTTTCACAGGCTCATGCAATTTAAAGGCTGGATATGCTGGGCATGTATTTACTCCCAACTTAGTTTACAAAAAAAAAAAAATAGGTAATGTATTGCATGTGTGCCCTAAAATTAATGTGTGTATTTTTTTTTTTACAGAAAATCTCCACTTGATAAACCATTGCGCTAATTTGCGCTTTCAGAAATTATATTTTACACTCGCACACCCTGCTGCACTATCCTTGCTTGATGCAATATAAATGGCCAAATACTGAATGCATTTCCAAACCATATTTTTATACTCAAATATTAACACCCATTACACCTCAAAATAGCAGAGATATTCAAGAACATCCTACGAATCTACTACTTACCTCTGCTTTAATATTAAACCTTGATGGTTCTTGCCTACTGCGGTTGGACCTCCTAACTCCATATACATCAGGGTATTCCTCCCACATCTGTAAAATAAATGCAATGTAAGGAGATATCTGATTCACATTCCGTTACCCATTACTTATCAAAAGAATCCAAAAAGCCAATGGCCACAGCTCAAAATACTCTAGACAAGGAAGTTAACCGATATTAAATGTAAAAGGAAGCCCTGATTTTAGGTGGTGTGCTATCAAAGAATTGTCCTTCTCCTCTTATCAGTGCCAACAATGTTATTAATATACCAAATTCTCTCAAGAGACATAAGTCGACACCAGGGGCGGACTGAAAACTCATGGGGCCCCCGGCCAATAGGGGATCATGGGGCCCCTGTGTCCTTGCCCAAACTCAAAAAGCCTATGAAAAAGGTATCGGGGCATCTCATGGGGCCCCCTACTGACCCTGGGCCCTCGGGCAGTGCCCGAGTTTCCAAATGGTCAGTCCAGCCCCTGGTCGACACTACCTGAATCTTCATTTATAAACATGTTTAGGACACCAAGGCTACTGATCACAAATTAAACTAACTTTAGGTGTTCGTAGTAGCCATTAACAAGTACTTGCAGAGGGTTGTTACTAATTTCAGAGGCCTATGGTGCCTCCAGTATCCCAAAGCCATCTTATGCTCTCATGTAAGTCCATGCTCATTCACATAGGTTCACTGGGAGCGGACTTCATGTACTATATAACTTTTTTATGTCTCTGCTTCTTCTTTCACAAGTGACCACCCACATTGAAATTTCAAGGAAGGTTTGTTTGGCCAAAAGATCAGTTTATTTGAAAAACATCTTGGTATTGATCGGTTTATTTTTAGAGAAAGATTTCTCTATGGGATAGACCATTGCTCTCCAAACTGTGACCCAGGGGCTGGATGCGGTCCTTTGCTTGCCTTTGCCTAGCCCTATTCCTCCCATTAGCACTTGATTAGGCACTATTCCCCCACTGATACCAATGATGGGGCCCTGTTCCACCCAATGAAACTAATGATGGGGCACTATTCCTCCCACTGATACCAATGATGGGGCACTATTCCTCCTGCCGACATCAAAGATGGGGCACTATTCCTCCCAATGAAGCTATTCCTCCCATGACACCAATGATGGGGCACTATTCCTCCCACTGGGGACACCAATGATGGGGCACTATTCCTCCTGCCGACCAATGCACTAGCTAATGATGGGGCACTATTCCTCCTAATGAAACTAATTCCACTATTCCTCCCACTTGCACCCATGATGGGGCACTATTCCTCCCACTGACACCAAAGATGGGGCACTTTTCCTCCTAATGAAACTACTGATGGGGCACTATTCCTCCTACTTACACCCATGATGGGGCACCATTTTCCTCCTACTTACACCCATGATGGGGCACTATTCCTCCCAATGAAACTAATGATGGGGCACTATTCCTCCCAATGAAACTAATGATGGGGCACTATTCCTCCCAATGAAACTAATGATGGGGCTCTATTCCTCCCACTAACACCCATGATGGGGCACTATTCCTCCCACTGACACCAAAGATGGGGCACTATTCCTCCCAATGAAACTAATGATGGGGCACTGTTCTTCCCACTGACACGAATGATAGGGCATTATTCCTTCCATTGACTCCAACGATAGGGCACTATTTCTCCAACTAACACTAAAAATGGGGCTTTATTCTTCCAACGGACACCAACAAAGGGGCACAATTCCTTACATTGACACCAATGATAGGGCACTGTTCTTCCCACTGACACCAAAGATTAGGTAAAGTTTACTTACACTGATGCTAGGGTATTTTTTTCTCTCACTGGCTACAGCCCAGCCCTCCTAAAATCTGAAGGCCCTTTATTTAGAAAGCTTGGAGACCCCTAAGGTACACATCAAAAAGCCTACAGGGAGTATTTTGGGGGACTAGCTCTCCTGCGTCACAAGCAGTGGTTTTAATCACCAGATTACAAATGGTCTTGGGACAGGACTGGTTCCCCACAACAATGTCTCGGTTAAAAACTAAAGTACCGAGATTGTAGGATGTGTTCCCTGTGGGATGTATCGTGACCATACAGTTTGTATGGTTGGTCATGACAAAGAGATGTAATTAAACACAGTTCTAGGCAATGTTAGGCATATCAAATGGAAGTAACATCTATGTGCAAATGTAACAATGTTGTATCAGCTTGTAACCTTTTTAAGTATTTTGTGTCAAATTTTACACTTTATTATCAATAAAACTAGTGATTTTACTTATTATTATTAATATATAGTATTTATATAGCGCCAAAAGGTTTGCTCAGCGCTGTCATCTATTATATCATCTTATATCATCTATTTATCCCTAAGTGGTACCTGTAAAGTCCAAATGTGTTTAGATTGAGACAATTATCACTTTAGTTACAGATAAAAAAGTCAGAATGTGTAGCAAAACAAAACAGAAGCAAATCAAGACTGTTTTCTAAAACTTACAATATGTAATTTTAACCTGTGACTTCTAACGGAAATAATACAACGTTCTAGTGATTTCAGATAGGAACATTCTCATTGTTCCAAAATGATGCTACAGGATCTTGATTATGCTATATAAGTAAATACCCATAGCAATTTTATATAGTGAGCCCATGGCAACCAAGTCTAGAGGTATAGCTTAAAGCTTTGGGGCCGGGAAGCAAAAGTTGGCCTGCCCATCCCCCCACTACCACCCCGCCGCTTCCCACGTGCGCCAAGATACTCTCACTGCGTGCCAAGCATGTGCGGATCTTGAAAGGTCACAGGGGTCCCAATGGTGAACCCACCTATGCTCCAGGGGGCCCATGCCCATGCTCCTTTCACCCAGTAGCTCAGGGTGTGGACTGCCTGCCCCCACCTTGTGTGTATGTGCATGGTTGAGCAGGGTGGGGAGTGGCTGTACTGGGCTGGGTAGAAGCTGCAGGAAAGGGCTTGCCCTGTCACCCTGTGTAGGTGAAACCAGAAAGTCAGAAGGACCCCAGATGGGCCTGGGCAGACCCCTGCCCAGCTGGCATGGGCCCTCTGAGTTTACCAAGTTACCTATGCAGTGTGAAGCAACAAGCACTTTCCCCCAGCAACAGAATGTAAAACCCAATGTGACATTGAGACCTCCAGGGCCCCTTGGATAGGGTAACCATTGCGACCCCTGCGACCCTTCAAGCTTCGTCCATGACTAAATCTCATTTTTAAACCTCCACTAGAAAAGGGATATCTAAAATCTCACTGGTTGCAATGGGAAACCCTTAAATTTTCTTTTGCGCTTTTCCTCTAAATGGCACTAGAAGGACGTATAGAGCAATGAGGATGTACCATAGGGCAGCAACTCATAAGATAATTTGATGTCAATGAGAGCTCATAGAGGGATCTTTTTTTTTTTTTGTTCAACCAATCCTCCCCACGGAGCAGGGAGACTTCCCCGGCATCAGAATACATTGATCAGCGTAGCAAGCTATAGCCTGCAGCATTGATCAAGAAGGGAAAATCTGTCAGGTTTTTGTACAGAAGTCAATAGGTGGACCAACTTTTGTACAACCACAGTGCCCATACATGGATGGAAATTTGGCCGAATTTTGTTCCATGTATAGCCGGCTTATGGGTTACCCCCTTTGAACACCATCACTGTCTTTCGTACTGCATTGGTGAAGAGCCCATATGCTTGAATGCACACAGGAACGCCAAGACTTCCCAAGATTGACCAATCCCCCCCCCCAAGAACGTCTTGCCTTTTTTACATCCGCCAGTCTCTCCTTTTTGGGAAGAGTCTTCTGTTTTGAGTCGGCCGCTGTGTCCTGGGTTTTGGAGCCTGCTGATTCGCATTCTGATTCAGACTGACTCTCTGAAGACTCAGAGCTGCTATTGGATTCACTGGCCTGCTCACTTGCCTGCTCACTTGCTTGTTCGCTTTCTGATTGGCTGCCTGACTCAGAGGCGGAGTGATTGGACTCTTCTGAGGCTGAATGACTAAAAAAGAAAAAAAAAAGTAATGGGGGGAAAACGCATTACAAGATGAATCCTCCAGAGGTAAATTGTCATTTTAAACCAGTTCAAAGGTTACAGAAATATGTTTGCTGGAATAAAACAAAAATAAAGTTCAGATTTAGGACCAATTGCATCATCACCTCGTTTACCAAGGAGAAAAAAGTATTCTGTATTAATCCCAAAAACATTTAATAAATTGCAGTGTGCAAATCCTTAAAGTGGTTGTAAACTTTTACATACACCCAATGAAGTGACTGGCCTCAGCTGATACACAGGGATGAACCAAATCCTCCTATGTAAGTTGCACCTGTTTATCTGCAGTATTATCTTTTCTCTTCATCCGGTCAAAGTTCAGAATTTATAAAGCTTGTCTGAGAGCTTTAGAAAAAAGGGGTGTAGAGCTCAAGATGCTCACTGCAGAGCACAGTGAGGAGAGCTCTGAGAGCTGATTGGAGGGAAGAGACACCCCCCCCTCCATACAACACACAGGAGCAGGTTTTGGAGTGTGGAAGGAAACCCATGCAGCCACAGGGAGAAAATGAAAAAACTCTATGCAGGTGGTGCTATGGTTGTATTGAAACCTGTCACCTGATTACCGCAGATAGCCAAATGATGGCTGCACTACGGCCGGCATATGATGTCCTTCCAGAATCTTGCGCTCTCCTGTGCCCCCCCCGGGGGCATGCACCTGGCGATCTCCATGATTGCTGTGTGGAAGGACACAGCTGATCACGTGATGAGGTAAAAGTCAATCACAGTGGGCCTTTTACCACGTGATCAGCTGTGTCCAATGACACGATGATCACCGGGAAATGCAATTGCCGGTTCCTGTGCTCCGGCTGCACTTTCCTCACGCTGTCAGAGCACGAGGAAAGTGCTACCAAGAACCAACAGTTGTCAGAGCGGGGATCGGTAAAACCGATCATCAGAGGCACTGATGATCAGCGCCCTAATGATCGGTACCCAATGCCGCCCACAAGTGCCCACCAGTGCCGCCCACAAGTGCCCACCAGTGCCACCCAGTTCTGTGCCCAGCAGTGCCACCTACCTGTGCCCATCAGTGCCACCCAGCAGAGCCGCCACTCAGTGCCGCCCACTCAGTGCCCACCAGCAGTTTCCACCACAGTGACGCCACTCAGTGCCACCCCAGTTGTGCCAGTCAGTGTCTGACTATCAGTACCCATCATCAGTGCCACCTATCCGTGCCACCTCATTAGTGCCGCCTATCAGTGCCCATCAGTGCAGCCTCATTAACGCATATCAGTGAAGGAGAAAAATAACCTGTTTGCAAAATTTTCTAATAGAAATAAAGAAACTTTTTTTTTTTTTCAAAATGTTTGCACTTAATTGTTTATAGCGCAAAAAGTAAAGTGCCCAGCGCCGATTAAATAACACCAAAAGAAAGCTCTATTTGTCAGAAAAAAATGCTAACAATTTCATATGGGTACAGTGTTGCATGACCGCACAATTGTCATTCAAAATGCAACAGCGCTGAAAGCTGAAAATTGGCCTGGGCAGGACGGGGGTGAAAGTGCCTGGTAGGTGAGTGGTTAATACGGCTTTAATTCTTTTTTTTTTTACAAATGTCCATAATGCTTGGATTTATCTCTTCTCGTGCATTTTAAGACATTTTTAAACAGTTTTTAGATTGTAGCTCTAAAAGGAGAAGGGCCCTCTGATTCCTCCTGTATTGAATTGTATTGCAGCTGTGCTGTCTGCCATCATGTTGTAAAGCTGATGGTGCTTTATAAATCCTGTATAATAATAATAAAAAATGTTATTATTAATATTATTATTAATAATAATTAAAATTAAATTTATTAATACTAATAAAAATTATTATTAATAAAATAATAATAATTCAATTACCCTCTGCCCTCATGTTGAAAAGTTGATGGTGCTATCTAAATCCTGTATAATAATAATAAAAATTATATAACAATAAAAATTTTAAAAATATTATTATTATTAATAAAAAATAATAAAAAATTTATTATTTATTATTATTATTATTATTATTAATAAAATAATAATCAATCCATCCTCTGCCCTCATGTTGTACTGTCTCCCCTCATGTTGTAAAGCTGATGGTGCTATACAAATCCTGTATAATAATAATAAAAAACAATTGTTATTATTAATAAAAATTTTAATTATTATTAATACTAATTAAAAATTATTATTGTTAATAAAAATAATAATAATTCAATCTATCCTCTGCCCTCATGTTGTACTGTCTGCCCTCATGTTGTAAAGCTGATGGTGCTATATAAATCTTGTATAATAATAATAATAAATAAAAATATTATTAATAATTTTAAAAAGTAAAATTATTATTAATACGAATACAAATTATTATTAATAAAATAATAATAAACAAATCTATCCTCTGCCCTCATGTTGTACTGTCTGCCCTCATGTTGTAAAGCTGTGGTGCTATATAAATCCTGTAATTAATATATATAAAAAAATATTATAAACATTATTAATAAAAAAATTTAAATTATTAATTATTAATAATAAAAGTTATTTATTTTGTATTAATAAAATAATAAAATCAATCCATCCTCTGCCCTCATGTTGTACTGTCTGCCCTCATGTTGTAAAGCTGATGGTGCTATATAAATCCTGTATAATATTAATACAAAATATTATTAATAATAAAAAAAATTATAATTATTAATAAAAGTTAAATTTTATTATTATTAATAAAAATAATATTAAATCAATCCATCCTCTGCCCTCATGTTGTACTGTCTGCCCTCATGTTGTAAAGCTTGGTGCTTATATAAATCCTGTATAATAATATTACAAAAAATATATTAATAATAATAAAAAAATTATTTTATTATTAATACTAATTAAAAAATTAATTATTATTAATAAAAAATAATAAATCAATCTCATCCTCTGCCCTCATGTTGTACTGTCTGCCCTCATGTTGTAAAGCTGATGGTGCTATATAAATCCTGTATAATAATATAAATAATAAATATTAATAATTAAAATTAATTAAAATTATTATTAATATAATAAAAATTAATATTATAATATAATAATAAATCAATCCATTCTCTGCCCTCATGTTGTACTGTCTGCCCTCATGTTGTAAAGCTGATGGTGATATATAAATCCTGTTTAATATTAATAAAAATTATTATTAATAATAAAAATAATTATATTATAAAAGTTATTATTAATATTATTTATTAAAAATAATAATAAATCAATATCCTCTGCCCTTATGTTGTACTGTCTGCTCTCAATGTTGTAAAATAATGAGAGCTATATAAATCCTGTAATAATAATAAATATTTAAGAATAAAATTAAAATTATTATTATTAATACGAATAAAAATTATTATTAATATAATAATAAATCAATCCATAATCTGCCATCATGTTGTAAAGCTGATGGTGCTATATACCTCCTGTATAATAATAATAAAAAATATTAATAAAAATTAATTATTATTATTAATAAAATAGTATCATTATTATTAAAATAAAAAAAAAAATCAATCCATCCTCTGCTTGTAATGCATGTCATCCCATTTTGGCACGACAGATACTATTCTTTTTTTTCCCTGATCTCCGAGACCACATTCAGATATAGTGCATGGTAAGCAGAGCAGATTTTAGACTGCGGGATGCGACAACCAGTACGCTGCATCCAGTGAGTGTCATGCGATCCAGCGTGTAACTCAGTACGGCGGTACCAACAAATAGGACGCGGGAGCAGGACATTAGAGGAGACATACACGCATACCAGCCACAGAACCATGACACTGAACAGGACGGCTCCTGCCACAGAGCCATTCCCCGGGTCCCTGTTCTGCCCTCACATTTACTTTCCTAGGATCGCAGATGGCTACAAATGTGAAGGTTGATGGATGTTGCACTTCATCCTGAATACAATGTAACAATCTGATGATTTGGGAATTTGCATGCCATTAACCTGAAGCAACAGCAGAGTGCAGCACCAACAAACGGAGGACATTTCTAAGAGGATTAAAGGCTGAAGGCTCTTCGCCATTTTGTAAGACAATCCAGCGACATGCCGGGTCCCAGCAGCTGCCGCACTGACCCAAAATGGAGAACGGCACACGGCATGCCTGCAGCAGTGTTTCTAGTCCTCATGGGGTTAGAGAGAAACTGATCAAACGAGGAAATCCAGTGAACTGTTGGGGGTCCTGAGGACTGGAATTGGAACAGAGACGAGGACAGTTCCCGGGATCAGAGACCTGCAAACCTTGTATCAGGGAAGCATATATTCTCTCTATAATAAAATAGTGGCAGTACAGTGCAGGCCCCAGGACAGGGTAAAAATAGTAAATGGTGTGACATTTCAGCAATGGGGGGGGGGGTCCAAATTCTGATCGGCATGAGGCACTCTGTTTGATTACACAAGCAGAAGCGTGAAGGTCTGAAACACCAACGATTCTTGGAAGGAATATTTATCATCATTTATTGGCAGCACAAGAAAAATGCTTATATTACCAATTTATTTCATGTTCACATTAGCCCATGCTCTGAAAAGCAATCTGCAATAAGTCGCTTTTCAGAGTGCGACTAAGCAGCCGCTGTCATGTGTTCAGGAGGCGATATTGGTACCGTGATAAATAGTTACATAGTTAGTGTGGCTGAAAAAAGACAAAAGTCCATCCAGTTCTACCATTAAACAAAAAAAAAAAAAAAAAAGTTATAATCCTACACCCACAGTCAGGGGCATCCTGAGGCAGGTGCAGGGGGTGCACGCCGCACCGGGTGACACCTATCGCACGGGGTGACACCGGACCCGCTCCCCAAAAATGGTAAGTTGTAAAGCAAGCCAGCGATCTGAGCAGGATGGATCTGATCCATGCTGCGGGGATCGTCGGCTTTCTTTACAACTTACCTTTTCGTGGAGTGGATTGGACTGCGATCCATTATGCTCAATCCGCAGATCCGATCCATCCTGCGGGGATCGTTGGAGGTGTCACCA